AAGAGAGACCTGAGCCAGAAAGTGCAGTGAAGAGGCTCCTGTTGTTACCAGGCTGTATCCAAGGGTCCTGCAGACAGATGGACATTACCAGGACTGAGGAACTGATGGAAATGACATAGGAGGCATCCTTCACCACATAGCTGTGTTGTGGTGACAGAAGCAAACACACTCACCCAAAAAGCCTCTTTGACGCTACACAGAACGGCCACTCTGGGTTGTGACAACACGTAATGGACGCTGTTCCCGGGGCTGGCAGTGCACAATACACACACCCCACATGAGACTTCCCTGCTGTCTAGCTACCCTTAACTCAACTTCTGACATGACAGTCTCCATATTAGCTTCAACACAGGATGGCGACTCTTCAGGATGCCCATGCAGCTGGCACACGGAGTCAAGAGCAGGGAGAGAATGAGAAAGCAGAGCTGGGGAGTCCAGATGCCTCCCTGAGAGTTTTTCATCCACCCATGCATAAGGCTCTAGGATGTTCTGTGATCCTCTACTCAGTGGTTCACTAATGTGTTTAGCAGAAGCTGGCCAGGGATAGAGTCCAAAGAACCTTGATGTCAGAGTCAGTAGTCCTGGGTTTTAGACTCAGCTCGGTGATTTTCCTGCTTGCTTGCTTTTGGCTCAGTGATTTCTAAGGACGTGATCTCCATTAAGTAGTTCCTTTCAAATCTCAGTCACATGAAGAGCTGTACAAGTCAGACAAAAACAAAAGCCCAAGCTAGTGGGAAAGGGCAACAGTAAATAAAATGGTCCAGGAAGGCTTATTGAAGCAGCAGCAAGTAGCTGAAATCTGAAGGAAGCAGCCAAGCGCATGGGGGTGCCAGGACAGAGCGGAGTGGCCAGTGCAGTTGTTCTGAGGGAGCACAACCCCCAGGTGTTTAGGGAGCCTGGAGCATCACCCCTAGCAACTCTAGCCCAGTTGTGTCCTGTTGTCCTTCTTGTATCTTAGTCCAATTTGGAAGAAAATCATTTTATTGACAAAGTATACAAAATCGTTTTAATAAATGTCATGGAGACCAAAAAGCAGACAGAATGTTGTATGAGACAGAAAGTTTCAATTCTTTATGCACACGAAAGGCAACATAGTTGAAAACTCAAAGAGAATCTATATAACTCTGAAACACAGCCTGGACAAATTTCAACCAGCAATACTGGTTTCTGCTTCTGCATGGGGCAGTCAGAAAGCAGAGCTGTGAGTATAGGAAACAGGCTCCCAACACTCCAGTGTACGGTTTTGCTCTCTCAGCTGTGGGATTTGATCTTTTCTGTGACTGACAGTCGGGTTCCGGGGTACTTCTATGAGAAAAAAGTCTTCTGAGGGGAAATTATACCCACGGTGGCAATTGCTGTGGAGAGATGCCTTTCTGTGGGTTTGTTGCTCATTGCTACAAACTTTATTTATGAGAAAACAAGAGGAAGACTGGCACAGCAGGAGACCTTCCATCTCCTCCTCCACCAGCTACATGTCCTTGGCAATATGCAGAGACAGGGATCCGGCACTTCACTAATGCAGGGGGACAGTAGCCCTTGCCCTGCTTCCTCCTAAGATTGTTACTAGGTTAAAATGAAAGAGTGAGTGTGAAAGTATCTTTAAATATTAAAGCCCTGTGTACAAATCCGGAAATAACATCTGTAGTGTTAGTAAACACCTGGAATCTTGTAAAGATCTTATTTTGATTCAATATTACTAGAGAAGACCATATTATTTTGCTAAAGAGACTCCACTATAAGAGAGAGAGGGAGGAAAGAAGAAGAGAAGAAGGGAGACAGATGGACAGACAGATACAGACAGGAAGAGAGTGAGAAAGCGAGACAGAAAGTGAGAAAGAAAGCTACATTTTAGAAAACAAGATTGCAGGTTTCACCCGTCTCTTTTGTACAGAATAATTTATTATAACATAAACTAAATACAGGGTTCTCAATGAATACTTCCTTTCCCATCACCACGTCTCCAGGCGTGGAAAGGCACACTTCTGCATGCACATGAGAACACGGAGACCTTCTGTTCTCAGACCTTCCATCTGTGGAAAGGAGGGCGCAGTCAGGGTGATCCTCTGTGTGTAGGAGCTGGATACCCGGGACTGAACACACAGCGGACCCTCGAGGAATCTGGGTGGGTCTGGGTCTTTTTTTCCTTCCAAATCCTGGCCAGGAAAATATGTTTGTGGCAGGTATCTCTACACTCACATTTCATGTACTTTCTCATGCTTTTTTACTCAAATGTTTCAAAAACTTCTTTCTAAAAATAATCACCTCAAATATTTCTCCAGCTGTCAATGGAAAATTCGTGACTCCTTATTTTGTGCATCTTTGCTAGACTTTTAACTCCATCAAGAACTCCATTCCAGGGCACAAAGACACTGAATCTTGTATGGCCACACCACACTGGGAGCTGGGACGTCCCTTCTCAGCCCATCTCTCCGCGAACATCGGTCTGACTGCTGTGTGGGCGGCTGCGGTAAACGGTTCACATCACAAAGCATGAATGAAACACTGGGGTACTGAGCTGGAAAGGAGTCAGTTTCATCTGGTGCTTGACTCCCTTCTCTAACTGATCTTGGAATAGACCTGCAATGTCACGGCCCGCAAACAGCGCACTCACCAGCTTCCCCGTGCCTCAGGGCTGGCTGCTAGCACAGTGGTCTTCATGTCAGCCTGAATTTGTTTCCACACGCTCTTTCCCTCGTTGGTACTAATTCTGCGGCTCAGGGGATTCCTGACCTTCTTTCCTGTGATAATCCTTCAAGTATTGGAGTGTAACTCTCACAGTTCCCTGGCTCTCTAACCTCCCAGAGGGTCCCTGTTCTTTCTCTGTTCTTTCACTTGTTCATTCTAAGATCTTGTTAGTCCCACGAAGTCAGTCTTCAAATGAATCCCTTTTAGCAAAGATTTTCAGCGCTTGTGTTTGATGGAGAACCAGAGACACCTAATCTGCTTCCCTCTGTAAAGTATAGAGGATGAAATCTCTGAGGACCAAAGCAAGAGGAACCCAGAGTCTCAAAAAGACCAACAGAGGGGCTGGGGATTTAGCTCAGCAGGCACAAGCGCCTGCCTTGCAAGCGTGTAGTCGTGAGTTTGATCCTTGGTACGGATAAAAAAAAAAAAAAAGACCAACAGATACTCATTTTTGGGGTTTTGTTTTACTTTGTTTCTAGCATATCTCTAGTCCAGGCCTGGCAGGACCTGGCATTTATTTGAACAGATGCCCTGTTTTTAGTAAAGCATTCCCTTCACCACCTGGAAAACTAGAAATTTTGCCTGATTGTACGATCACACTCCTTCCCTACCGAAGCTTCAAAATTAGTAGCTTTTGGAAAGCAGTTAAGGTTTGCTCAGATCTGTGTTTAAGGCCAAGGTCCACCCTGAATCCAGTTTTATCCCTGCTGTGGTGGAAATGATCAGCCCTTCCTCATCAAGTAATAAAACCATGTAACTCCAATGAAATGGTGGAGGACACAGCCCTGGGTGAGAGGCTCACTTAAGTGTGAATTGCACACACTGTTCTTCCTCACACTTAGGTTGAAGATCACGTCCAGCTTGCCCGGCCATCGCCCTCCATGCTTAGGAAATGAGCACAGTAGTGGCTCCAGGACAAAGACATGTGGAGCTGTCATATCACTGCTGAAGGAAACGGTTCTTTCCATACCGAAAGGCAATGGTTCCACAGATGTGAAACACAGAAATATTTTTATGCCCTATTTTCAAATCAGAAGCAGAAGTGGCAGGGTACGGTTGTAGCTAGGAGACACTGTGCTCCCTGAATCCGTCACAGTCACAGACCCACCAGCCCTGCTCCTGAGCTCAGTCAGGAAAGGAATGCTTGCAAGGCTATTAATAAGTAGCAAAGTCCAGTCGGGCCAGAAGAGTCATCCTCCGCTCTGCTCCGAACATTCACTTCACCATAATGCATTTTGTGCTTTACTTTAAAATACTATGTGTAGACATTTTCTCAGAATTCAGTGTTGGCTACCAACCGACCTAACAAAACCTGGGTATTTTCTATGTAGTCTTAATCCACTAGAATCAAACTGAAGTAGTGACAAAATAAGGGAAATTTTAGTTTTTTAGCAAATTAACTCGTAAGCCTAAGAAATGTAGCGATTGTGAGAGGATTTAAATTAGGGGATGGTTTATAAGGCAGAATGCATAAGACTACATTGATAAGTGAAAGAAATCAGACACAGTAGCTTAAATATCACATGGTTTCTCTCACAAGAGAAACCCAACGTATAAACAAATGAAAGAGCAAAATAAAAGATATTTAATAGGAGACGGTGAGCCAGAGGTTCTGCAAAAAGAAAGGGGACCAAGGGGAAGGAGGAGGGAGAGGAGCAGAGTGGAAAGGGGACAAAAAGACTGAGCCGTGTCGTGAACAAGTGCCGGCTCCCCACCATGATTGTGACCATTACAGATTGCACACACGTACTAACAAAGCAGAGAAATAATTAAATGCACAAGGATAGAATTCCCCCAAAATAGGAGAGATCGCAAAACAGCCAGAGTTGGGCATGGGAGATGAGAGGAAACACGGAAGAACACAGTCAGGAGAAGAGATAGTAGCCAATATAAGGGCTGCCTGATACGCTACTTTCCTTTCTTAGTGTAGAATGTAAGCCAGACGGCTATATGATCTGTGGGACTTGGTGTAAATGAAAAATATTGAGATGCTTATTCATAGCTGCCAAGCGGAGCTAGCCCTGGTAAGCAGGAGACCCCAGTAGTCACAGGACACAGGCCCACGAAGCAGCCCTCCGCACAGGGGCCCCTACTTCCAAGCTCCTTAGCTAAATCCTGCCTATGAGAGCAGGACGGGGGCAGACACGAGTGTCACCTGTCACTTGATCATCCATATGATCTCCAGTGTCTTCTTTCCCAGCCTTCCCTTTGTGATCTCCGGTCCTTGGGTTGAGTGGTGGAGCCTCAGACCAAAGCAGTCACCACTCTGAGGACAGCTGTCCTCGAGTCATCTGGAGCAAGAAAGTTCTAGTGCATTCGGGCGCTGAGCTATGGGGCTTGTTTATTAGTACAGCATAGGCTGCATTTATCCTTAATGATATGCAGGGGAAGGGTAGAAACAAGAAAAAATCCTCAGATCTGAAAAGTACCACTAAGGAAAGGAAACCAGACAGTGAAAATTGATGTGATGGCGCCCATGAATTAATTTTTCATCAGTGAAGTGAAACTTTTAAAATGATCTTTACCATGTTACAATTCTATGCATATACACAGTCTGACTCCCCTCAACTCATTTAGAAGGACTATTATCCAAAAAGAGAGAAATCGCACAGTCTGTCAGTGTGGCTCAGTGTTACAGTGTGCTTATTTAGTGTGCTCAAAGTCCTAGCACTGAAAACAAAACAAAACAAAATGAAAAACAAAGAGACAGAGTACGTATTTTCCTCCCTTGGCTTCCCAATCTCTTGGCTTACTTCAGTCCTTGGCCTGATCATGGTTCATTAGCTGTGTCCAAATCATTCAGAAGCCAAGAGGAAAGCGCTCTTCTGTGGGCAGCGTTCTTCTTTGTAAGAAATATTTTATCAAACAGACTTTAATTTGGTCACCGTGATTTGATAGGTATCCCCAAACTCCTGCTGAAACGGTAGGAGCCTCATTGTTCTAACATCACTTGAAACAGGTCCCTTTCTCCTTGTTTCTTGGCAGTAGCTTGGATGTCACTGTTCCTTCAAAGCTGTTCCTCGTTGCTCTCAAACACGGGATTGCTGTAGGACGCCACCCGGCCGCACCCCGGCATGTCAGAGTAGAAGATTTGATTGAGTGGAGGCCAGCTGGAGTCCTCTGCCAAGCTCTGCTGCCATACCCGATATTGGCTTTTTGATCGATAACCAAAGCATCTTTTGATCCCAATCCATAGAGCTCGGTTTTCAATAATAGTCTCCTGCAAAATAAAGAGCCACTGTTTACACGGGGAGGTCAAGTACTGTAACACTGGCACCCTCCAAAGGTCACCAGACCACTGCTACACTGCTTGGACCTAGTCTGACAGAGAATGTGGTGGTTTCATGGCAAAAGTCTGGGTGCCCCAAACTTTCTTGCTGAAGTAACACTTCTGAGAAAAGAAAAAATGTAATTACCAGCACCTGGAAGTCAAGCTAGCTCAAAAATGAAATTTCTTTTGAGTCTTACATCTAAAATTTAAAATCATTCAAATTCCAGTACCATATCACATCTGTCTTTGATTTAATATAAAAAAAGCACTTTAAAAATGCCACCAGGTAGAATTAGGTCAATAGAAGGATGTGGCATGTTTGTGCTGTATCTTGGGTACACTCTGCTGTGTCCCTGTTCAGTCCTGGACACAGGCCGATGAATTTGGACCATGGCTTTTACCTCTGAGTTTGAACTAGATTCTGATTGCAGCTCTCTCACCTATTAGGAACAAATGAATTACCCTATCTGAATCTCAGTGGTTAGAAATGATAATCTTCTCCTTATGCTTGTTGTTCATATTGTAATCCCACAGTCATCCAAGTATTGCAGTCCTCTTTTTAGTCTTCCTCACAATCCAAAAAGTTGTGTTTATAATCCCATTGAGACATTATTGGAATCCCAGCAAGTTAATTTTAATCTATCACCACCAATGCAACCCATGTCGAGAGTAAAGACATCAAGATATATTCCAAATTAGGGGCAGCCAAAGGGTCCTAAATCTAATCCTCATGAGGACATGTGGACAAAGGCCTTGATCCTAGGCCTCTCTCAGAATTTGTTACCTTGTGAAGAAGTGGGGTGGTTCAGGGATGAGTGATAATGAGGATGGTGGGAATTATGGGAGTAACTTGAGCTGGCTGGCCAGGTGCAAGAATGGCATCTCTGTAAATTGCAGAGATAAATATGCAGAAGGATCAATTTACATAAACCAATTAGGGTCATAATGGAGTTTTTTGGGGAGGCTATTGATTTGGTTTCTGATGTGCAAACTCTTGTGCCCTGGGGAGTCATATCCTCTTATGTTGAGGTTTGTACCCAGTTGACATTCCCGGAGCTATTTGCTCTAACACCTCACAAGCGTATATCCTGTACATATGCTTTACGGAGAACACTATGTGAGGAAACAGGACTGTCTGATGGCTTTAGAAATTACATACCAACACCTTGGCTGGCCTTATTTGCAATGCTTACAGCCAATTGCACAGAGAATGAAATACCCTAGCCAGCTAGGAAATGAGTCTCCAAATAATCAAAGTTACAGTAATTGTTTTGCATTCAGTGGGAGTCACAGGAACTGTCTCCCACAGTGCAGATTATCTGCCATGAAGGGAAGGCAGGGCAGGGCAGGGCAGGGCAGGGCAGGGCAGGGCAGGGCAGGGCAGGGCAGGGCATGATTCTCAACCTTGACTCACATTTCTGAAACATTCATGTAAAGAACAGCGTGCACCGTGGCCCCATTCACAGATGTCTCCAACCTTTCCCTTCACTGAAATGCATTTTAAGATTTAAAAAACTGTGTCGCTAGAAACATGGTGGACTGCCATTGTATTGCATGAGTTAGATAGGACCTTGGACATAACCCAAGTTATTATGTACAATACAGAGTGTGTAAAAGGTTAGCATATTAATTTTCCATTTTAATCTAGTTGGTCACAAAAAAATGAGCATTGGAAATGTTATCATGAAAGTAACAGAGAAAAACATGAAGATCTAGGCTGTCCTACAGAACAGAAGCTGCTTTCAATGTCCAACAGTAGCATCTTTGTGAAATAGAAAGAGTTAATTTATAGGATTCTAAAGGAACTTTACCACAGATAACAATGTCCCTAAAATCCACAGATCTTTGTTGAGCTGCATCAACATGGAAAGAATGGAGAACAGCTCGAATCTTTCCTCTGAAAAGTGCCCATCTTCTGGCAGGCCGCTGAAGATCCAAGTTTTGTGTTCCGGCATCAGCTTCCTGCAAACCTGAGGGCTCATCTGGCTGGACCTGTTATTCTACTTTCTCACAAGGGTGTTGTCCCTTTCCTTTAACAGGAAAACTATCCTTCTCCTTAGAGCTGGAGTAAGGCAGGTGCATTGATACCAACTAAAAGCTTATAAGTCTAACTTAGCCCGCGTAACCTTAGAGACCTTCAAAAGGAAGAAATACGGAGAGAATGAAAAAAGAGAGAGTGGAGAGAGGGAGTGAAAGGGAAGGGGGAGAGGGAGAGGAAGAGGGAAAGAAATTAGTGCGCTCAACCTTGCCTGGAGCTTTGCTCAGTCCGAGAAGTGAGGTGACCTGTGTCACCCTGCTGGTCTGGAAGGGGAAATGGAAGCACTGAGAGGTGACTGTCCTGTCACTCTACATTACAAATTATTTGGAGAGCTGGAAACAGATGAAAAGCCTGCGTGAGATTCTATTCTTAGGACGACTCCACCACATGAGTTTTTTTGACTAGCTGTAGCCTGTGCGAACTTACATCCTTACATTCATACTCACTTCTTCTCTTAGAAGGAATTTAAAATGGTGGCGATTCCAACATTTGAGCCATCCACATTAGCTCCCGTGTCTCAGAGACAGATGGTGACACTTGGCACAGTAAGGTCTCGTTTACACTGGTTTAATTTCGGGCCTATCTGGGTTAGGAGTAGGGTTAGACCTCAGCAAACTTGACAACAGTTGCAAGTGCAAAAGGTGGGCCATGCCCTTCCAAAACCTGGCTGGACCATGTGTCACAGGCTAGCTCCATGGCATGGGATTAACACAGTCCAACCCAGGAATCCTTAGTACCCTCCGACATATGTGCCTAGAGCCCCCAGAAACACCTTGCCTGTTCATTATTGTTTGGGTCTTTCACACTCTGCTATGCTCATTGCATCGAGGAGGAAAGCACTGTCTGCAATTTCCAGTTGCATCACTTTCACCAAAGCCTCAAGTGGCTTTGATGTGTCCTGAGGACCAGCTGATGGCAGGGAAGGGGAGCTTTGAGAGGCTGGAAGTGGCAGTTGAAGGACCTGGCACTGGGATTGGTGTGCTTCAATGTTACATTTTCAATTTAAAAGCTACCAGGAACCCACACTAAATGTTCACATGTACATCTCTATTTCTCACTTAACGTGAAAAACAAAGAAACTGGTTTTCATGAGCATTAAATTACCCTTTCTATTTGCTGGTAATGGACAGGGTTATCTAGATGTCCCTCAAAGCCATATAGATGGGACTTTTAGGAGGTGACAGAATCATGTGTGTAATATGCATCAGTGGACTGATTAGCTCACTGATAGGTTTATAGCTGAGTATGACATAGAAAGGTTAAGCTGAGTGAGAGGAGGAGGGCCCTGGTAGGAAGAGGTGGGGCACTACGGGCATTCCAGGAAGGGTGTATGTCCCCCCTCCTCCATGATCCTTGTCTGCTTCCGCCTGCCATGCCATGAGCTATTCCTTCTCCACCACACTCCTCTGCTGTGCCACCCTGCCCTGGAGCCACCCAGCTATGGACTGAGCCCCCTACAAACTGTTAACCGAAATGAACCTTATCTTAAGTTGTAGGTGTCAAGTAATGTGTCCCAGGAATGAGAAAGGAACTGAGATACCTCCTTTCTCCCTGAACAGTGTAAGCTCCGCCCCTCTGTCATCTTCCTCCCCCAGGTAGTGTGGACCATGACACAGCACATGGCAAACAATGCTTGTGGGAAGATGAATGACTAACAAATGACTGAAGGACTGATGGATACAAGTAAGAAGTGGTTAGTGCCACAAGAAATAGTGTAGTAGTAAAGAGCTTTGTGTCAAAATATTAAGAGAAAGTGACAGTTAACTACCCTACAGCTCATTCCCTAAACTCTTCCCTTTCCACCCAAAAGGAAAACAAATAGCCTAAGCATGATGCCTAACTTTTGCCATGGATTCCCTTTCCAAAAATCCTCTTCTACTCAGGATCACAAAAAGACTTCTAACCAATACGCATAAAAGGAAGTCAGGGATTGGGCTGCAAAAAAAAAAAAAAAAGCAACTTAGTTTCCTGATTTAAAAAATGCAAATTTGAGGGAATAAGAGCTCACTGGTATCTCTGCTTTCACTTTCTCCCTGCATGAAAACATTTCTGTCACACAGCTACTGAGAGCTCTCTGAGAACCGTGATCAACAAGCATAAACAGGACAGGCCACACCTGGACAGGCAGGAAGATGCAGACCCCCAAAGGCATCACTGAGTCCTGCAGCCGCATATTTTCACTCTTCTTGTGGAGTCAATAAATGCTCTTACTGTTTAAGCTACTGTTAACTCAGCTCCGTTATTCACCCAGTGCAGGGAGAAGCGGGATGAAAAGTGACAATTAATGGGTTCAGGATTCTTTTAGGGCGATGCAAATGTTCCAGAATTAGATAGAGTTTATGATTACACAATTCAGGGTTCTATTTAAAAAATCACTGAAAAGGCAAATGGCATAGTGTGTGAATTGTTATGGTTTAGTTCTAAAATGTCCCCCAAAGGGACAGAAGTGGGACTTTGGAAGGTGATTGGGTCAGTGGTGCACTGTATCATCAGTAGTCTACTGGTGAGTTCTTGGGTGACTGTGCTGCTTTGAAGGTGGGGCCTGGTCAGAAGAGGCGGGGTCTCTGGGGGCATGACCTAGCGTCTCCATGCCACCCCCTCCTTCCTGGTCACCATAGCATAAGCAGCTTTCGACTGCCAGGCCTTTCTGCCATGCTGTGTCTCCCTTGAAGCTGGCTGACCGTGGCCTGAACCCACACAACTGTGAGCCAATATGAACCTCTTCTCCTTTAAATTGTTGGTGCCATGCCAGGGATATGGCTCAGTGGTACAGTACCTGCCTAGCAAGTGCAAGGTCCTGAGTTTGATTGCTGGCACACACAAACAAAAAATTGTTGGTGCCAGGTATTTTTTGTCCCAGTGATGGAAGAGCTAATTAATACATGAATCAGATCATGGGTTTTATGTTTTGTTTAGGTCTCTATTTGGTAATTTTAGAAATGACTATGATCTTAAAGATCATAATTCCATCCTTCCTGACCCCATTTTAAATATGAGAAAACTAATGGCCTGTTGGAAATGCATCAGAGAAAAGCAGTTTGCTCACAGTGTGGACAACAGGGAGCTACTTGCAGTGCTGAGCTCTGTCCACCACAAGTGGTGCATTTTCACAATCTCAGGTCCCCCGCCACACTCACCCAGGGCCAGCAGCCTGAGGCACTTACCTCCATGAACAGGGACACAAGGAAGTTGGAGCTCAGCATGATGACAATGCAGACCCGCCACAGGACAGGAGTGCAGAGCAGCTGGGAGCGGAAGACAAAGCCCAGTTACTCTAAGAACAAATTCATGCTGGAAAATGTTCACATCTTCACAGCGTACAATTTCATCAGTCATAAATTGTACGTAAAATGCGTATGTGTATAGGCATATATGTGTACATATATACATAAATGCACGTATATAGACATAGATAAATAATGTCTATAGATATTTATACAGAAAAATGTTTAGAAAGATTATTCGGTTTTCTTTGGAAAGATTATTCTCAATAATTCCAATGATTTGGGGATTATGCTAGTTGCTCTTTTCTTTTCTTTCATCTCTAGAATTTCTAAATTCCCTAAAATAACTTTGGTCAATTTACAATCAAAATAAATAATAATAAAAGCATTTTTGTTGGCTTGCTTTGATTTGCTTTGAAGAGGGAATGAAGGAATGTGGCTTGAAAATATTCCTGAGATACATGTGTCAAGCCAAACCATGGGGCAGGGCTGCCCTTGTCTCTCCAGTACCATGGCTTTTCTCACCCTTGTCTTACCCTTGAGCACTGAGCCAGGGCTTCACCCTCACAATGGTGCCATATATATATATATGGTGGATGGATGGGTGGGTGGATGGATGAGTGGATGGGAGGGTGGATGGATGAGTGGATGGAAGGATGGATGGATGGATGGATGGATGGATGGATGGATGGATGGATGAGTGGATGGGTGGATGGATGAGTGGATGGATGGATGGATGGGAGGATAGATGAATGGATGGATGGATGGATGGGTGAGTGGATAGGTGGATGGATGAGTGGATGGGAAAGTGAATGGATGAGTGGATGGAAGGGTGGATGGCTGAATGGGTGTATGGATAGATAGATAGATGGATGGGGGTGGATGAATGGATGGATGGATTGGTAGGTGGGTGGGTGATGGATGGATTGGTAGATGGATGAATGGATGGGTGGATGGATGGATGGATGGAGGGAGGGTTGGAGGGATGGATGGATGGATGAGTGGGTGGATGGATGAAAAACACAAGCACACTCTTCCTTATTCAGCACCATCTTGTACATTACCTCATATACTGATCAGAATAAAAGCTGATAAAAATCTATGGAAAATGGTGTCCCCAAAGTTAAAAACTCAAATCCATTTCTAGGAATTCATCCCAGAGCTATATTTGTACATGACTAAGATGATATATTTATGTGCTATACGTATTGATAAGGTTATTTTACTACCTCTTTACTTGAAATAGTAAAAAAATGGGGGAAAAGTCCTTAAGTGTCTATCACTAGAGAATCAACATATAAATTATGGTTGATGCATAATATATACCATGTAGTATAATACATAGAATATGTGTTATCATTGAAAAGAATGAGGCATACTTATGTGCTGATAGGAATAAGTACCAAAATACACTGTCACATGCCAGAAGCAAGGTGCAGGACTGTGCATGTGATTGCAGCAATCATGAAAATGTTCCACTCAGATTTCCTGCTGCTGGGAAGATAAATACACACAGCTATGAAAATGTTCCATTCAGATCTCCTGCTGCTGGGAAGATAAATAACAGATACCCCAACTACTATGCTCAGGATCGCCACCACGTTCACCATAAAGCCTTCTCATGGGTAGCTCAAAGCCGGTGAGTGAGGACAGCTGCGGTTCTCATGAAACTCGCTACTGTGAGAGCGGACACGTGCGAGAGGCAAGTCTGGCTCTGCACGCAGAACTGCAGGGCAGACGAGGACTCTGCTCACACAGTGCCCCTTCCTTGCCTGTCTCCTACACAGAGGTCAGGTCTGCATCGTGGCGTCCTACCTTTCGCCACCTGCCCTGACTTTCTATGCTTTTCCCCAACAGCATCTCCTCCAAAATCTCCTGCACAACGCCTCTCACTCTGACCTCTACATCCTGGCTCCCTGAACAAATGTAATAGCTGCTACTGCTCATGTAAAAAGCGGGAGACAGTATAAACACAAGAACTACATGCACACTTCTGTATGTATGTATAAAGTAAGAGAAAGAACTTAAACTGACCCCAGAGAAGAGCTGAGTGGGAAATGTTCACTATCTTTTAATTTTTTAATTTAACCCACAGTAATGTATACTTATTAAAAACAAATTAATATATATATTTTTAAAGTTAGTATCTAGGTTGCAAAACAGCAGGATTCCATTCAAATGAAATAAACTTCATAAATTAATCAATGCACATTACTATATGAATTTTAAAAGATTGAGAATGCAGTAAGTAATATGTTTCTTGCCTGAATAGTCTACATTTTTCCAGAATGAACTCACATTTGTGTATAATAAGAGCAAACATGATTATTTGAAAATGTGGACAATTCCTTTTTTACAGGAACCTGTGTATGGTGCGGGCAGTAGTGAGTCAGCAGAGGCTCCTGTCAACCAAGAATGCTCCCTGCTTTGCTACACAGGAGCTGCCCGCTGCTCTGCAGAGCCCACGGATACCAAAGAGTAAATCAAACCCAACGTGGCTTCACTTTAACATCTGCAGTGCTAAGAAGTGGTAAGTAGCAGGCTGAGTCTATTTCCACAAAGAGCTCCTCTAATTAATGAAGTCTCTGGACTACAATGGTCAATACACTGCTAGCCTAAGAAGCACAATTATAAAAAGAAACGAATGGAGATATTTGTTAGCAGATCCAGTGTCACTGCGTGCTTGTGAAGGTTTTGTTGGTTTGAAATGCACTGAGCGCTGTAAATGCGTCTCTGCATTTAGGAACCTAATGCATACTGATTGTCAATCCTTTCTTTTCCATTTTATGCCATTTGATGTGCAAGGAAGGGTAAAATGAGGATGAATGAGGTTTCGTCTTGGCCTTCTTAAATCTCATCTTTAAGATGGAGGCAAGCAGGCACTCAAAGCACCCAGTTTAAAAAACTCAACTTCTCTAGTCTTCTCTTCTGCACTGTGTTTATTTTAATTCAACGGTTATATTTTAATTCAAAATAAATAGGTTAGAGGAATCAAATTACATGTTTTTGCCTTGCTTGAAAATGTAATTGTGCCTGCATTGCAGGATGTCAGAGTCGTCTCAGTATTACAAAGTGCAAAAGAGTACACATTTTGAATAAACTTTCAGACACTCAGTATGAATATACAGAAAAACATGTTTTTAAAAAGTAAAAAAAAAATGTTAATACATATTTGAGAATTAACCAACAATATGTTACCGGCAAAATTGCTTTAAACAGCTTCAAAACAGAAATACTTCAGAGGAAATTCTCACACACTCGAAAAAGGAAACATAAATAGATTTTTTTTCTCTAATCTAATCATGGATCTTTAAAAAGAAAACGTTCAATATTTTTCAAAGGCTGTCTTTAGTCTTAGGAAATCAAAACTAGATGGAATTTTATTTCTGGGTCAGTTTAAATTAAAAATGGATTTGAATTTAGCATTCTTTTAAATTCGCCCATGCCCAAAGTATATAATTGGTGTCAGATACCCATCTGAATGGCAATTGTGACTTGTGTTTTGAAGTTGCATTGTCACAAAGCTATAAAACGTTATCATATCCCATAGATGACACTTACATCCAAACGCCTGTACAAGTCCGGAATATCAGCAAATAGAATGAATAAACACACACCCAGCTGTAAAATCACCACAAGGACAAATACATCTGAAGAAATAAGAACGCAAGCTATCATTTCAAGAAATCAGAATACGAAATGTCACATCTATTGACAGACATATCCTAGATTAACACTGATTAAATTTACTTGATTTCAAAATTCAACCCAGCATAATAGATGGAAAGCACTCATTTCTATGCAGTGCATCTCACCTTTACAATTTATAAGCATGTCCTTGAGGCAGGTAGAAACTTTCAATTGCGTGTTATCAGTTTCAATTAATAAAAGGGGTAAATATATAGAGGAGAACATGAAAAACAAAATTTTAATAATTGCTTTAAACACATTCAACTACCCCAGTACAAATCATCTGCCTCAAAATTTTTTTCTGGAAAAAAGAAGGCTGTAAATAAATACATTTTAAATTGTATTTATGTGGAAGTCAGCAGCATCTGATTGCTTCCTTATCCTAAGAAGGCTAGGGACAAAATAATTTTCCCTGAGCCAACAAATTTTTAGGAGGATGTGGATTCTTTGACTCATGCTTCTGAATTATCCCAATTAGCCAGGCAGTGATGGTTACAAATGTCCCAGAGACTAAACAGGTGACCTATTCCTACTCCTAACACTCCACCCCACCCCAGAACACAAGAAGATGAGACATCCTTCAGGCAAGAGCCTCTGCAATCCTCCACAGCCAGGCACCTCCAGGTTGGACCCACCCCCAGCTTGTCACCACACAGGGCCATCCCCACCACTGTTTTCATGACTGGAGACAGGTTCTAGCTGTGTACTATGACCTTTCTCTTCACTGCTCCTGGGATGAATTTGGACAAGTCCTCAAAAAAAAAATTAATCTTCCTAATTTGGAGCAATCCCAAGAAATGACACCTAAAGACAAACTTTAGTGAAGGAATGGGAGAAAGTAACCTGCACATTTAATGCAGCTCTGAAGCAGCAAAACCCCATGGAAATGAGGTTGCAGGATGTGTTTGTTGTACAGAGCTCTGGAGTGGAAATCAGGGGACACTAGAGAAGAACCACCTTGACAGCTGCTCCCTGCATGGCCTGGCATATCTGCTGCTCTCTCTAAAGATCTCTCACCTCTGGTCCCACACAGTTCTACTCACAGTTCGTGTAGGTGGGCTGCCTGAATGGTCTTCCTTTGGAGAAGATGAGAGCCACGATAATGCAATTGATTGTTCCCAAGAACCATATAGTAGTGTTCTCATAACTTGTGTAGGAACCATTAGCTCCAGTTTTTTCTGGAGCAGTTGGAAAGATGGTTAACTTTGAGATGTTTTGATTTTGCACTGTGCAGGCACTGTAAAGGAAGCAACAACAGCAGTAAAACTAATGAGGTGAAATGTAAAGCCCTTAGGAACCATGTGTATCCACAGGACTCAATGCTAGTGTCCAGAAAAGCACTCAACACTTCTAAATTGCCTATATTCTGGTAAAAAATGTATTGAAAAAACAAGGAAGAAAATATCAAGCAGATTAACCTACACTACAGATAGGTAGATAGACAGACAGACAGATAGATAGATAGATAGATAGATAGATAGATAGATGTCAGATAGACCCAAAAAATTCTCTAGCCATCAAATTGTGTACCCATCATGTATATTTAAGGCTACAACATGAAGAAGAGGAAGTCATGATCCTTCTTACCTTGAGCAGCTTATCTCTGATAAGTTATAAGTAGAGTGACCACAAAACTTGTCACTGAACAGAGACAGTTTTAAAAGGGGAAAAACAATAATAATTACCCTAGGACATCACTTAAATTGGGCTGCATAAATTGGGGCATATAAAGCAAACTATAATCCCTGGCCATCCTAAATGTAATAAATGATCTTTGATCGTTATCATGCAGCCCAGACAAAGGTACACTCCAATAAGTGATACCATCAAACTGTGCTAAGGAGAAGAAATAAGTGTTGTGAATTTACCCAAAGGGCTTATGGAAGCCAAAACCTCTGGCAGGAGGAAGATTCATTGGCTACTCTTCACGTTGGCCAGATGATAGAAATTAGGCTGTGAGGGTGGAACTGAGAATGTAATCATACCTGTGCAACTCCATGGAATACCAGGGCTGTTTCTGCACCAAGACAAAGCCCACAATATGCATGGCCAGGCTGAGGAGGATGTTGAGGATGACAGAGAGCAGCAGAGGTGGGGAAATCAGCCGTCCTGCAGGTCTGAAAGGCACCAGCTTTGGGTAGGCACCATTCAGATTCACTACAAAATAAATTCAAGCTTCATGTTGATGAGAGCAGGGAAATGCATTTCTCACCATCAAAATGGCATAACAGCTTTGGCCTACCCGTCTGAGGGAAGGAACACATCACACACTGAAGGAATGAAACATTTAATGGATTTTAACCCAAGTCACATGAGAAATTCTTAAAGGAGCACTCATAGACAATCCCAAGATGCCATTGGCTATTAAGTAAGCAGAACTATTAAAGTATAGGAAATGGAGTGACGGAATGTACCCTTTCAGGCACCACTTGTGGAAATGTAACTTGATATAAAATTTCTGCAGAGAAATTTGGCAAGTATGAAAAAGTGGGAAATGTTTATTGTTTTAGACAGCTCTCCCACTTCAAGAAATGTATCCTAAGCTGAAAAATCAACATGTGGAAAGACAGTCACCACAGCATGGTCTAAGATAAGTTCTGGTACATCTGTATCATGCAGGGACCCGCAGTGGCCATGAAGCCATGTTGGAAAATAGTGACAAATGAGGAGTGACAAAAGCGACATGGGCAGTGTACAGCTCCAAGGTCCTGTCTCTCCAGAGAAACACAGAAACACATGTAGAAACTACTTTTCAGAAACCTGAGAAAGACAAGAGCTAACAGCAGCAAAGTGAGCACCAAACCAAGGAGTCAACTCTAAAAATGGTAAGAAGGTTCCGTGGCATTTTCCCTTTTATTAGTCTCACTCCCTCACTGACTCCCAGAGGAGGCTGGAGATGGAGCCTGTGTTCCCAGAGAGGGACTCAGGTCCCAGTTAAAGCGGAAGCACAGTAGGGGGCGACCTGTGCGACGAATCACGAGTCTCCACTTCACCTCACCTGGGAGTTGCTCAGGACAGAAAAGCATCACATTGTTTGAAAACCGAATCTAGACTTCCGGAAGAACATGGCAGATAGATAGCAGCAGCTACGGAGGCTCTCTGAGATACCCCAAATCCAGGAATGGTGTGGTACAAGGAGTCCTAAGCAAGGGGAGATACACCCTGCTGACCCAGGAATGAACTAAGCTAAGAGAAACCAACTGGAAATCCAATCCTGGTGCTATAACAGGAACAGATAAAATCTCAGCATGGAAGCTAGAACCCGTGCCACTGGAAGCCGCAATTTGAATTTCCTGCTGCCGCTGCTATGTCCAAATCTGCAGGACAGGGAGAGAGACGTGTGAAAGCTCTGAGAGCGGGAATCTGCGAACAGAGTTGAGAGCGGGACTTGCAGGGAGCCTTACATCAACTTGCGGTGAGTGAGCGGAATGGGGACTCTTTCCGCTTACTCACCACAAGTTGATGTAGGAGTGGGAGCCAAGTAGGAGGCTCCAGAAAAGGACATACTGGGACTGGGCAGACTAGCCGGAACAGGGCACTGTAGTGACATTAGCCGCATAATCCCCTCTCAAGTGGGATTAGTGGGGAGTGCCTGGCCTGCATGATGCCTCTGACTAAGATCCAGTAGGCTAGCCCAAACCAGGTCCCAGCGCCTGGAGGTACACCCTAGTGGTGTGCAATTCAAACAAACTGTAACCAAAAAAGAGAAAAAAATTGGGCCTTCTACATTCACTTGTATGGAAGGAACAGAAAGTATGAGAAGAGGAAGCAACAAGAAAGGGTCCTCAGTCCCCAATCCTGAGAACGTTGATTCAGGAAAGGGAAATGCAAAGGAAGACAGAAAACATGCAATATCAGACACGGCACCAATAGACATAAAGCAATATCTCCAGAGCCTCATAGACAAGTTTAAAAATGAAGTATTTAATGAAATAAAGCAAGATATAAGTAGAATAGTTAGAGAAATGCTAAGCACCACCCAAGAAAAAACAGATGGTGGAATGGAAGAACAGAAAAAAAGGAGAGAATTGTTTGATGGAGAAAATAGAGAAAACATAGAATACGTGAAGCAGGTTCAAAGAGATTACCAGGAAACTAAAAACTCTATTGAAAGCTGGCATAACAGTTTGAAAGAAACTAAGGATAGATTATCTGAATTGGAGGGCAGATTTGTAATATAGGAGCATGAAATGAAAAACTTCTTAAAAATAACAAGAAAACAAACAGCAATAATACAAAGGCTAGAAGATGATAAGAGGATCTATAACTTAAGAATTAAGAACATAAAAGAAGAAGTAGGGACACAAACAAATGTACTACAAAAGCTATTCACAGAAATAATTCAAGAGAATTTCCCTAATTTAGCAAAAGGTAAAAATACTCAGATGTATGAGGCATACGGGACCCCAGCCACCTACAACCCAAACAGAGCTACACCCAGGCATATAATAATCAAAATTCCAGAAATCCAATATAAGAAAAGAATACTAAAAGCCATTAGAGACAGGAAACAGATCACTTACAAGGGAACACCCATCAGAATTACAGCAGACTTCTTGGCACAAACCATCAAATCAGGAAGAGCGTGGGGGGAAGTAATTCAAGCTTTGAAAGATAACAACCTCCAGCCAAGATTGATATATCCTGCACAACTGTCCCTAGAAATTGATGGAAAAACAAGGTACTTCCAGGATAAAGAGGAACTAGGGGAATTTGCCTCCACCAATTCAACTCTATGGAGAATACTACAGAATATTCTAAAAAAGGAAAATACCAAGATTCCAGAAACAGTGACAGAGAGGCCACAATGAATGGAGCAGAAAGTGAAATGAAGAAGACAAACTGACAACAAACGACAGAAAAAAGAGTTCAACAGAAATGAGGCAGAGAAGATTGGATGGTAGGAACAGCTATTTTGGAGAAAACAAGACATCATAATAGCTAGTGCTGACTTAATATCATCTTGCTTTGAAGTCCCATCAAGCTTTTATTCTTCTGTCTCCATCAGTCTTAACAGGTTGTATCTTACTGGATTTTATTATATGTGATAATATAAGCAAAAACTTTTATAGACAAGGAGATTATACAGAAACCATTGTTCATTTTCTGATAGTTGGTTCTAAACACCCTGTAATACTGTCATTCTCTTGAATGGTTTTACATTGTCTTGATATGTTTGGTGCTACAGTATACAAAGTTATACTCAAAGATTTCAAGGAAAGAGACACTATGGTAACTACTTTTATGTCGGTATATCTTGTGGTGAAAAACTATTTTGCTTAAATTGTTATGCTTGGACCTGCGCTGTTTTGTTGTTATGCCCTCTTTTATCTCAGTCTCTTTTTTAATTATTTACTTTTTTATTTTTATCATTTTAATTAAGGGAAAAATTAAAATAGCAGGATACATTTTAAAAAAAGAAAACAGAATCTAACAACTCACAGTTGCTTGGGGCAAAAGATTATCATTAATGTTAAAGTACTACCCTAATGCCTGGGAGGAAGAGCTACATAAACTTTCTTTTTGAAAAATGAGGGCTTTCAAAAACACCTGTGAATACTGCAGAATATAGAAAGTCATATGCATGCTCAGGACAAGATGCATGCTCAAAGAAGTCCCTACACTTTCAGTTCTTGATAATCTCTGGATACAGTGCAAGCCTGGCTACGTATTGTACAATCATCCCAGCTCAAAATCCGCCAGCAAAAACTGGACAAAATGTTTTTGCTCAGGGGCTGGGGATTTAGATCAGTGGCATAAGTGCCTGCCTCACAAGCACACAGTTGTGAGTTCGATCCCCAGTACTGATAAAAAAAAAAAATTACTAAGATGTCTTCATTCATTTGATGCTTACTTCCAGAGTTTGGGGAAATCTCTGTCAACATACTATCTAAACAAAAGTCAAAGGAACAGAAATTTTAGTGACTATACGTGGTAACTTACAAAGTCTTTAAAAAATAGCTTGGGGAAGTCACTAAATAAATGGTCTCCTGTAGCCTTCAACCAATAGCAAAATAAAATGTGTCAAGCCCTTGGGAAGGAGAAGAATCTGAGTTCCAAGATTATCACATTATAATATTCAAAATAAATTGAACAAAATAACAGAATAAATTGAAGGACATCATCCCTGAAGAAGCACATGTATTAAATTAACTAAGCAAAGGTTTTTAAATAACTCTTTTAAATGTGTTTAAAGATATAAAAAAAAACCATAGGGGGGAATCTAAAAGAAAACAGGAAAACAATATGTAACCAAAATGAGAATGTTAATAAAGATACGGAAATTATTAAAAGGGGCCAAAAGAAAGTCTGGAGCTGAGAAGTTCAATAAATGAATTAAAAATGTATTTACTGGATTCAAAAGCAAACTTGGACAAGCAAAAGAATCAGTGAACTTGAAAATAGACTACTGAATTGATCCAGTTTGAATAACTGAAGAAAAAAGAATAGAAAAAGTAAATGCTAAGGGACTTGTTGGTCTTGATTAAGCAGACTAACACATACCAGGAGAGTTTCAAAATGAGGTAACAGAAATATGAAGAAAGAATGTTTGAAGAAATAATATCAGAAAATTTCCCAAATTCAGTAAGACACTCATCTGCACATGTAATAAGGAAAAAGAATTGTAAAAGGTTAAAGCCCAGGAGTTCTACACCAAGGCAGTATAACCCAACTTCAAAAAGCCAATTCAAGCAGAGAATTTTAAAGGCAACAGGGAAGAAGCCACCCACAAAGATCTTCACTAATTACTAACATCTCATCAGAAAGCCTGGAGGCCAAAGCGTCATGATGACTTATTTAAAGTTTTAGAAGAAAAAAAAATCACAGTGCCCAAGAATTCTACACCTGGCAAAACTATCCATCAAAACTAAAAGAGAAATTATGAAATTCTCAGATAAATGAAAGTTGAATTAGTTATGAAATCTACATAAAGTGAATGAAAAGATACTAAAGAATAACTCAAACACGAAAAACAATTCCAGTAAAGGTAACAAAATAAGCAAATATAAAAGCTGAATTGTTGTACCTTTGGTCTGTAATTTTACTTTTAATTCCTACATGATTTAAAAGACAAATGCATAGTAAAAATAATTATATATCTATGTTATTGAGTACGCTATAGTTAGAGATGTAATTTGTGGCATCAGCAACTTAAAAATGAGAGCTAGAACTAGAAAAGAACAGTTTTTGCATGCTGCTAAAATTAAACTGTTTAAACTAGATCATCATGAATCAGCTGTTAGGGGGCTGGGGATTTAGCTCAGCGGCATAAGCACCTGCCTTGCAAGCGCATGGTCATGAGTTCAATCCCTGGTACCAATTAAAAAAAAAAAAAACCTACCTATGAATCAGGTAATCTCCATGACTTCACAGCATGTAATAAAAAATACCTACAGCTAATGTCTTGCTCAATGATATATGGGAAGCTTTCCCCCTACGATTATAAAGAAGGCAAAGATACTCACTTTCAGTGCTTCATTCACCAGTATACTGCAAGTTTTAGCCCAAGAAATTAGGTAAGAACAAACAAGAAATAAATGTCATTCAAGTAGGAAAGAAGAAAATCTATCTTTGCAGATGACAAGATCTTGTATATTAAAATTTCCAAAAAGTCCAAAAGAAAAATACTGTCCTCAAAAGGAGAATTTAGCAGTAACTGAAGACCAAGATCAACATATAAAGAGCAATATTTCTATACATTAACAGTAAACAAATCAAAAAATAAATTAAGAAAATATTCTATTTTCAAAAGCATCCCACAGAAGAGGAGATATTTTGGTGTTTGGGTTTGTGAATGTTATGGATTGTGCCTAGGTATCTGCCAAAGCCTCATGAGATTACGTGGCTTTCTCAGAGGTGGCTGGATCTACAGCATGTAACACTGGGAATAAAGGTACATAGTTAGGGCTGGGGATATAGCTCAGGGGCACAGCACCTGTCCGGCAAGTGCAAGGTCCTGAGTTTGATTCCCAGGACCAAAAAAAAATATATATATATATTTTTAAAAGACTTTAAAAAGATGTATGTATACTAAGTCAGCCCACTGCTTGATTTGACACCCCCCTCATCCTGGCAGTGGATAAGACAAAAGGGGCAGGAAGATGCTGGTAAGGTCTCTTGTTGCTTTTGCTGTCTTCCATTACCATGCACAGCTGTCCTCTGCCATGTGCCACCCTGCCTTGGGCCAGCTGATTATAGACTATCAGTCTTTTGCTTATCCTTTTATGCTTAGGTCATTGACCCATTCTTGTTCCAATCTTTATATATGGTGTGAGGTAGGGATGTGGAAATCTAACTGTCCTAGCAACATTTCTTGAAGAGACTATTGATTGCCCATTGAATGGTTTTGACTCTCATGCTGAAAATCAATTACCTACAGAGTATGACTTTATTTTTCAATTTAAAATTCTGTTTGGTAGGTGTGTATGTCTTTCCTGATAGCAGTTTTGATTATAGTTTTGTTGTGAATTCAGAATTTGAATGCTGAGTTCTCTAACATTGGTCTCCTTTTTAAAGTGTGTTTTAACTGTTGAAAGCCCCTGTAATTCCATCTACATTTGAGGCTCAGGATTTCTACTTCACAACAGAAATAGAGCTATTTAATAAATAAATAAATTTATTTAATAAATAAATAAAAGCTATTTGAGTTTTGATGAAGATTGCATTGAATCTGTGTATCACCTTGATAGTATTGACATTTTCACAATATTAAGTCTTCTAGTTCATGAACATGGGTGTCTTTCAATGTATTTAAGTGCTTTTAAGTTTCAGCAAAATCTTTTAAAATTACACTACAGTTGTCTTATTCATTCTTAATGAAACGCATTCCCAGATGTCTTAGGTATATTTTTGTTGTTGCTGCTGAGACAAAATATTCAACTCCTAAAGGTAATGGAGGAAAGATTTTTTAGCTCACAGTTTGTGGAGGTTTCAGAGGATAAGGGGCAAGGAGGACATCTGTGGGCCGTGACAAAAGCAGTCTTGGGGAAGTGGAGGGTAACCTTCAGTTAGCAGTTAGGCCACTTGCACATGTTCTTTTGAACTCTGGGACAAGTTTTAAACTAACCTGGCATGATAGCTGTTAAGATTATGATGGGAAGACAGAGCAGAGAACATGCAACCACAAGACCACGAGACTTATAGAAGAGACCATAAGAAACATGGATCCTTGTGATGTGTCAGAAATACACACGCTTCCTGATAGTGATGGCTAGAGTGTGTGCCTAAGGGCCAACTGCTGCTAAAACTGCAAGTCAGTTATTAAACGCCGATGTTACTAAACCACAACGTACAGTGAAACAAATCAGACACGCAAGCCTAAAAATTTGTATGAGAAACCCAAAGTACAAATAAATGGAAGAGTAAAATCAAATTTAGATATGAGGAAACAGGCAAATAGATCTTTTATGGGTGGAAAGGGGATCAAGAGATGGAGAAAGGGGTAGAAAGCAAAAGAGGAGGAGGTGAAAGAAAAATTAAGATGTGTTACATACACACACGTACCAGTTTCCCACAATGAATGGAGTCATTATGCACTGCAAATATGTACTAATAAAAATAAAAACTAAAAGCATTTTAAAAATACAGTGCTCATTATGGGTCTTAAAAAATAAATGAATTTGTAAATAAATATATACATATTATAGAATTATAGATTACAGATTATAATTTCCTAATCATTTTACTGTATTTAGTATTATAGAATTATAGATTACAGATTATAATTTCCTAATCATTTTACTGTATTTAGTATTATCTGTATTTTTGAGGTTAACAACGAAGATTTAAAATGTTAGTTAGTAAGATTTAAAATGTTAGTTAGTTAGATTTAAAATGTTAGTAGTCATTGCATGGTGAATACTTTTTAAAATACCAAGGAAATATACCTCTTTAAGAACTATGGGCTGATTCAACAAATAAGCTGTTCATATCACTGATGAATTTTTGACACAAATCTTTATTGTTTGGCTCTTCTCTTGCTTGTTCAGTGAAAGAACACTATCAACCAATATCCATGCTGAAGCCCACCATCAGTTTACTATAGATGCAAGAGTTTGGCAAATTTCAATGAAAACATCCTATGAGAATCAATTGGCAGAGTGGATTTTACAATAAAGAGTATCGCACATTTTTATTATTTGCAAATTTCACAGTACACAGTTATCTTTTTAGTAAAATCTATAGTAAACTCATATACATATCTATTTATTTATTTTAAAAATTATTTTGAGAACTAATTGTTAAACATTAGCAAACACACCACTACCTCCCACCAAACAACAGCACAAATACATCATTCAAATTCACACTTTGAGGATTATTATATAATGAAAGGAACTGGAATGGCAACATATTGAAGATGGGAAATGGAGAAAGTGGGTATACACTACACTAAGAGGTCTAACAATAAAGGAATAGTAGGTAGACATGGGCTTACGTTCAAGGAGAAGTTTTGAAAGAAAGAATAACGAGAATGTACAATTATGCTGAAGCTAATGAGCCAGGGGACAGAGAAAAGTTGATGATTGAGAAAGCGATTTCTGCAGAAACAAAATCCTTGAGAAGGCAGGAGGAAGTAGAGTTGAAAACACCAGTGAAACCGCACACACCTATCAAAGGTCCCAAACCCAGAACGCCATCAGCAAAAGGCCTCTGAGGATGAGAGGCAACAGTAACTCATCCATTATGGGGAAGAAGCAATTGGTCCTGTTGCCTTTGAAGACTGAAGTCTGGTAGAACAAAACCAAACACACTCTTGCCACATGATTCACTTCTGGGAGTGGAGTTGGGGAGAATTTGCCACAAAAATCTGCACACTGGCATTTACGTCAGCTTCATTCATAATTACAGAATCTTGAAGCACCAAATGTCCTTCCGTAAGTGAATACATGGACGGTCGCACGGAAACAATGGAATATTACTGAGCACTACAAAGAGTGGAGCTGTCGTCCTATGAAAAGGCACCAGGGAACCTCAACTGCACGATCGTGATGAGTCGGTGTAGGTTCATCACTCGCCCCAAATGCACACCATGGAGGACAGGAGATGCTAAGGGAGGAGACGTGTGTGTAGGGACAAAGAATATCTTGGAAATCTCTGCATCTCTCCCTCAGTTTTAAAGTGCACTTAAAACAGGTCTGGAAATTACATCATAAGCTAAAATTTCCCCTATGCAGGGAAAGTGGGGAAACAATTCATATATGTTAGAAAAAGAGAGAAGTGGGAGGAGTGTAACAGCAAGATTACTTTTACCGTCCATTCTCAGTGCTGAGAGGCTAAAATGTGCAGATTGGAAACACACAAGCCCTTTAGCTTCCATGAAGTAGGCACAGTCCAACTACAACTACATCTACACACACTGAAGCTGGTGCTCCTGATTTTTAAGGTACTTTTTGCATTTATATACTTAGTATCCGTTGATGGAAGCTCTATGTTTTGTGGAAAAGAGCAAACTCACTAGTGTTTTCATCAACCGTTAAACACGAGGCTCTCTGTGTGTTCCCTTGTGTTCCCTTCCCTCTCTCCCTTGCTCCCCCCCCCCACCTTTCCAGAGTACCTCTAGGAAGAAAGTTTGTGAAGTGCCTTACTTGTTACACCGATTAGGGTTGTAATGGCCAGATCCTGGAACAGAAACTGGTAGTTTGAAAGGCTGTTTGTCTCCTGAAAAGAAAAAGCAGATTAAAACAGCTATGACCTTTTGGATAAAGTCTGATAGGAATTGCATTTATATTTGCACCATAAAACAGGATTATTCAAGGAGATGATGAGGTCAAGGGCCTGTTTGGTTCGGTAAGAGCTGGTGTTGGTGGAAGGATTCAGGCCTATAGAAATCCTCTCCAGCCCAAGAGGGCTTCTGTTGTGGTCCCCGAGCATCAGTGCGTTCCCTCGGAGGAACAGAAAATCTCGGGCCACTAGAGTCATCTCTGCTCTGTTTCTTGTGTGTTACCAGAAAATCTGGGATTTGATATTACATGATCAAAGCACCCATCAGTAAATAACATGGTCATCGCCCTTATTTTTACTGATGGAGAGTGAGAACAACTGAACCCACAATTTATATACTTCAGTGTTGCTAGATGAGATATTAGAAAGTTCTAATAAAGCAAACTGATACTCTTAAGAAAAAGTGCTCAGGGGTTACTCCTTCAAGAAACTTGCTTCGGTAAGTACTGTTTAATTTGGCATTTGAGCATAGTGTGTTATTCAGATTATAAAATAGAGCCCCGTTCCCATAAATAGCCAGCCCTTAACAAGCCCACTTTTTAGTATGAGGGCACATAGGTAATCTGAAACAGTGGAACTAAAGCCTGTATCTTAAGAGAAAGAGAGTAAGAAATAAAGATGAAATTAGATTGCTAAATGACAAGTGAAAAATTTTTTCCTGGTGTTAGTATTAAGAATTAGCTAACATTGTATTCAAAAACCATACGCATGTCAACTCTCCTTTTATATCCTACTAAATGATAAAAACCATTGCAGCATATATGTATTTTTGTAGTATTATACACCAATTTTCAAAGCCCTATATTCAGATAACCTGGGATTTACTGGCTTGTACTCTTGAAAGGCAATTGTTAAATTTTAAGGAAAGTTTTGAGCTGATTATTAAACATAGCTAATATAAAAACTTAAATTGTGTATATGTGTTAAGTAACTTATATTAAAAACTAGATAAATAAATACTCAAAGCTCAGTATTTTCTTATTATTTTCCTACACCTTACCATTACTCATACTCTTGAGATCACAACTCTCGCATGTACATGGTGCAAGCACTGTGGAAGGGCGTCCTACCAGAGTACATCTCTGTCCCATTCTTCATTCAGTGACACATAAATAGCTTGAAATTGGCTGTGAGGAATGCATTTATACCTCTGAAGTTGGCAAAGATTAATAATCAAGGAAAGTCAGTGGAGACACTAGGTTAATATCTAATGTAGAGAATCATCCCTTTCATGACTGCTCTGTTAGATTAGAGCCACACCAGAATTAGAGGGAAAGACCTGGTCCAAGCAGATGATAGCTACAGTGAGCATGGACATGGCATATTCAGTTCTGACCTAGGTTACCCACTAGGTAATCAACTTCTGAGCCAGAAAGTCTGAAAATTGACATCACCATATTTTCCTGTGTGCATTTATTTCTGACTAGTTTTATAAAGCTTTAAGGAGAAACCCAAATTATAAGTAAAGACCAATAATAGGAAGTGCAGACACAGATCCTTGTCAAATGGGAAAAGGTTCAAGAGGAGGAGGGAGGGAGAAGGAAGGGAAGAGAAAAGGAATGAAAAAAGGAATGAAGCTGTGTTATGCATAGGTACCAACTCCACACAAGAATGTAATCATTACACACTGCAAACATGTACTAAAAAACCTTTAACCCCAGTACTGCGGATTGAGTTCAGGGATGTTTGACCACTAACTTAGGTCTCTCTAAGTTTCCCAGGTTGGTCTCAAACTTATGACCTTCCTGCTTCAGCCTCCTGAGAAGCACAGAGGTTCTGGATGCCTACACATCCTATTTGATTCTTCCTCGAAGAGATATTGCAAACTGAGCACGCACCACCACTTGTTTTGGTTCTCGCTAATCAAGAGGCTAGGTCCCCAGTCATACCCAGTAGAGCAGCAGAACGCCAACATACTGAATCATGCTGTATAGAGCCATGTACTTAAACATGCAAAATGAGGTGACGAGAGCCGCACGTCCTTCCCTGTGTAAGAAAAGGAATGAAATGAAAGTGATGAAGGAAAACCGGGTTGGTTATTTTGTGGCACACAGCTGAGCTCAGGAGAAAAATGATCATAAGTCTGATCCTGGGAGTGCTTGGAGGACAGCCTGAGTATGGGAGCTCACTATGGATGCTGGGACTAGATGCTCAGGAAAGACCATTTCCCTAGCCAAAGTCTCCATAGAACCCAGATTTGTAACTGCACTTGTCCCTTCTGTGAGCATCATGTCAGCTCTTACTCTCAGGGCCATAAGACCTAGGAGCTGGTCCCAGATCTCACATCTATGCGCTGATGCGTTTCGGAAAGTTTCATGCAAACCAGGGGATATAAACGAGGTGGGAGCTATCTTCATGCAGGAGTTTGGCGAACATTTGATTCCAATTTCACTTTGGCAGTCCTAGGTTTTTTCTTCTAAAGCTAGAACTAAAATGATACACACACTCAAAGTAATTATTCATCAAATTGAGGTGGACTGGACACACGGAACTCCTTTGTACTACTGTTGGTTGACTTCGAGGAAATAGTGCATATGTAAAACCTCAAATAGGTGATTGTAAAATATCTCTTCTTTCTACATCATTTGGGGAAAAAATGCAGTTTTAATTTATTTGTGGTCATAATTAGTTCCTGAGATTCCAGTCAAGTCTTTGTTTTCTTTTCCTGTGTCAGGATGCTGCTGAAGCTGTCACTGCTACTGCTGCTACCCAGAGGGTGACATCTTCTTATTCTTCCCTGCTTACAGAAGTTTCCCCAAGTCACTCTGCCTGAAGCAGACAATTCCTCCTCCAGAGTCACCCTCACTACCTTTCACACTGCAATTTTTATTTCCCGAACTGCATTGCTCAAAATCAGCAAACACTGTCTTTATGTCCCTGAGATCCTTGGCATTGAGTTCCCATTCAATAAATGTTTGTCAAATACATGAGCGAAGACTTTTAAATGGAAGGAACTAACCAAATCATTATTTTATATGGTAGGCTAAGGTATAATGTTTGCAGATAAAACACATCCAAACAAACTCAAGTGTTAAACAGTTTCTAACCATTTATAGCTATGCTAGTTTGGGCATATCAGTTAAATTCTCTGAGTGTCAGTTTCTTTATTTGTACAATAAATAACAAGCATTCCTACATCTTCAGGTTGTTTTGGAGTATAAGATTCTAGACTTTAAATCACTTCTAAATGTGAACACAGGCTGTGTATAATCAGCAAGAGTTCCCATAATGCTAATTATCTGAATCTTGATACCAAAACAAAGCACAAGTGCGTATTGGGGGGAGGGGAGGCCAACCACTGAGGCAAATTTCAGTGGAAGCTGCAAAAATGAACAAACTGGGCCTGGGAAGGGAACCACCAATATGCAGAAAGAGGCAAGAGGAAAATAAGACCCGGGAAGATATACTCTAAAAACAGGAGGATGGTTCACACTTTCAACTCTGCAATGAGCTTCTGATTCTGATCCTCTAAAAATAATCTAATTGATGGCTTTCACTAGGAAGGGCAGTGCACCTCTGAGGGGGTTTGTAACTGCTGCTTAGTGCTCAGGCTGTAGTAGAACTCTGGCATTTTCCTGCAGCGCGCTCTCCCTGCCTAGGAACATAAAGCCTGCCTGGGCTCTCCTAGAAGAAAATGTTATCTACACCAAAAAGTCAAGAGCGAGAGAACGTAATGCAGAGCCACGTGCTACTTACTTGATAAGGTGAGGTACACACTCAATGTTCGGAGTCTTAGAAGTGAACGGTGAGGCCACAGAAGCTTCCTGTTCTGACAAAGAGATGCCCACATGGGCCATTTTCAAAGCCTGAAAGCAAAGAGTTGGCTTATTGCCTAGGTAGATTCACAAACACCTCCACAGGGGTCACACAGAAATGGCCAGTTGAGCTGGCTTCACGTTGGTTTTTGCACCCCAATGCTAACTAGAAGACATGCAGACTTCACCCTGCTTGCCACCTAAGAAAGAAGTGACACTGGCACACCTAGATAAAGAGGGGAAGCGCAGAACCAAACCATGCCTCATCTACCCTCTCCGAACCACTGAGTCATTTTGTGGCTTTGGTGAAACCCTCCCAAACCCTCAGCGTCAGTCTGTCCTTCATGCGGAACAGCAATGGTGTATATCCCAGCAATGGTAGCCATCCCTCTAAAGTGCGCCACATAAGAAATCTTGGGAGACTGAGGCCCCCCCAGCCACAGGCTACTCACCCCACAGTCATTGGCTCCATCACCACACATACCTACAAAGTAACTGAAAGGGAACCATGTGAATCGTAGAGATCAAAGGTGTCTTACCAGCTAATGTTTCTTAAAGGACATGGTGACCAACCTTTCTTAGAGTTTGAATAGGCTTATTTTAAGGGAGTTGCCCTAGAGTCCGGTTGAAACCAAAGTGTGATTCAGCAACTTTTACTATGGATTAAGGAATCCAGCCCATCATTCCTGGTTCCAACTGTCCATGTAGACGCTGCACTGTGCAGCTTAGGAAGCCACTTACTCAGCTGTAAGGTGGGGGTGCTTGTGACCCTATGATGAGATACCATAACTCAGAGGACAGGGGACAGCTTTTCAAGCCAGAAGGTCTAGATTTTTTACCTTATCACCTTCCCATTCTGACCATCATTTTTTTCCTCTACAAAATGTTATGAGTATCAACTGAGATACTACATGGGAAAGACCTTATGAAAATCTAAAGTGATTAGCAACTCTTAGTTGTTGATGTTAATACCAACACAAAAAGAAGTCCTCTCTGTCAGTAGTCACTCAGCTGCGAAACAATATACTAGGCCAAAAAGTCAAAGAAAAAAAGCACAACCTGCTTCAGGATGGCTTTTCTTGTCTCCTTGTACAAAAGATTGAACCCAGACTTTCACATATGTGAGGTAAGTGCCCTACCACTACCCTGCATCCCCAGCCTTTTTAAAATTTTATTTTGAAACGAAGTCTCAGTAAAAGAGTTTCAATCATCCAGTCTCGAAATTTCAACCATCTCATCTCAGTTTCCCAGTACCTAGACTAATTACAGGCATGTGCCACCATGCTGGCTCAGGTTGGCCTTTTGAGATTGGATGAATACTCCCCTGAGGAATTGTTGACAAGCGATTGTTGGCTACTCAATTGTTGGCTACTTAAAAGACAAGTACTGGACAGCAGTCATGGGACATGCTGCACCTCTCTCCCACTCTGCTAGAAGGTAACTGCTGTCCAGCCAAGGAGAGAAGAAAGGGCTTTCTGAGTGGAGAAGCTTTCCTAAGGACTGTACCCAGGTAGGAAGAGGGCAAGGAGAAAGAGCCCTGCAGGTGTGGTTCTGCGTTGCTACTCCATGGGGGGCCAGTTACAGGAAATAGGGAGTTCCAAATAATAGTCCCTTTATTTGAACTGGCTGCTTTATTTAAAGTGGAACTCTTTTGTGTTAGCATTTTTGTTTTGTTTTGACTCAGGCTGGAAAGGATGTTTCAGCATATTTTAATATTGACGGATTATGCATTTCTTATCATATGAATCTCCCTATCTAATGACCGTGATGATAGTTTATAAAAAATCTCAGTTCTCACTGAACCTTTTAGGAACAGAGTTCAAGTCAAATTTCCAGTGATATTTCTCACCTTATCTTTTCACATCCCTCATATTCTAGTCCAGTGTTTCTTAACTTCAGTTGCAAAACTAGCATATGTGAAGAGCTTTTAAAAATGCTGAGAGCCAGCATGGTGGCACATGCCTGTTATCCCAACTCTTGGGAGGCTGAGGCAGGAGGATAGTTGGGAGTTTGATAGTTGGACTACAAAGTAAGTTCAAGACCAGCCTGAGCTCATAGTGAGACCTTGCCTCAAAAAAAAAAAAAGAAAAGAAAAGAAAAAGAAAAATGCTGATAGCCAAGCCCTGTGTGATTAATTAAATTAGAACCTCTGGATGGCAAGGTACTGGCTTTGTTATTTTTTCAAAGCTCCCTTGCATGAACATCATGTGTGGCCATGGTAAAAAAAAAAAAAAAAAAAAAAAAAAAAAAACATTGGCCTAGAAAAAACTGAGCAGTTCCCTGTCCCTCTGCTGCTCCCCCTGACCGCTAAGCCACCACACAGTTCACGCCATCTGGACTGTCAAAGAACCTACTCCAGTTTCTGAAATTCTTCCACCAGACTGGATTTCTGTCCGGGAGACATTCTCGCGAAGATCGTCCCATTGATCAGTATCTACAAGAGACCAAACAAAGAAAACATGTTATCATGTCAGCCGGTCATTATGTGAAATACCTGATAACAGACACTGGCCAGGTGATGATGACCAGGAATGAAAAAACTGTTCCTAAGGAATCCTATGAAGGAGTTTCAGATAGACTTTGAGACTTTTGTCATCAGTTAAATGATAGCGAATACCAACAATCAACAAACACAATTTCTTAATAAAAAGTTTATAAAAATACTGACTAACGCACTAACCCAGAAATTTAACCCACTAATTATTGGAGAATGGATCTTAAAAATCAGGAGCTTAGTGAATTCTCTAGCTAGTCGAGTTGAGAAAGCTGCAGCAAAGCAAGAAGTCAGGGGTTTAGGATAAAAAAAAAAAAGCAGCTCATTGTCAGAGCAGTGTTCGGAAGTCATTGTGACTAGCTCTGATATTTGACTTAATCACACCAGCCAGCCTTGAACAATTTTGAAACCCAGCTACTTTGAGCTATGGAACATGGAGCTATACCATCTCCGTTCTCCCAAACTTTTTCCTACAGACTCTAAATACTTCTGTTTCATGTGGATATTCTATGCCCTTCGTGGCAGAACACATCTTACTGTGCACTAAAAATCTTTATTCTTGGTAGATATGTTATCTGCCATAGGCTTTTTCTTCATCAGAAAAATTTTAAATTTCATTCTCCTGAGTATAGAGCTCCTGTATTAAAAACAAAATAGAGTTCTTTTTATTCTTGGCCTGCCTTCCTATATAATTGCAGGACTTCCTTTATGAGATCCTTCATTGGCACTATAGTAAAATCTACCTAAAATCAACCCTTATGATTTGAAAAAAAATCACTGATACTTCAATCTTCTAGATGGCAAAAGAACTGACCAATCAAGTTTATTTACTATAAACCTAAGAGGAAATAAGACAATAGTAACCTTTCCAAAAACATCTACCCCTTACGATATACAGAACTAACTGGATATGTGCTCCTTTGAAGTTGTTCAGGACCATATTCTACAAACAGTGCCACAGCATCTTCTCTGAGAGACTTGTGCCCTCTCATAACTTGCCTTTGGCAGGAGGCTGCTGAAATATCGACTTATCACTTGAAAGGATTTTCCATCTAGAGCAAAATGATAGCTTCCTTCTTTGCTATTGTCATACACTTCCCTGATGTTAATGTAATTGTCCTGCAAAGCAAGAGACAATTATTTTAGATTCTTCTACTTGAGAGACTGGTTAAGACAAGCACATCTAAGAGAAAGGAACAAAGACAGCCTAGGGTCCTTTTTCTAAAGTCGCATGCCAGCCCTGATTCCTCAGGGAAGTACTGTCTCTTTGCTGGATCAATCTTTGCACATCAGCGCCACAAGTGAATAGGACAATAACACTTCCTCGTGTCCCACCTGTTCTTATTCTGATTTGATCTTGGTGAGTCCCAGAGAACAGCAACTTTCACACATTTCAAGTGTAAACTATAAAAGTATTTCCACTTAACAGATCTCCTCTCCCTGAAGTGACAGCTGCTTGGTTTTTTTTTTCTTATAGAATTAGTATTGTTCCACAAGTTCAAAATGGAAATAGCCTACTGACAATAAAGAGATATATAAACAAAATGTTTTCTCCACGCCCTGAAGACAATGCACACAGCAGTGTCTCTCCCAGGAACTAAATCCCCTTTGAGCCCACTGGGTGGCTGACAAGCCAGTGAAGAAATGAAAATTAGATTCACAGCTCTGCTTACTGTAGCCCTTCTCACACAAAACTAACAAGTTCTTTAAGTGTAAAAGAAGGGATTATTTCCAGCACCCAAGAAAGCTTGTATCTTGGAGCACAGTAGGAACAGTGTGAAAAATTAATGCAACTGGAGTCAATGAACTACATATTTGCTATGAGTCTGTAGAACTGTGCAGACTCCAGGTCGTCTCAACACTGCTGCCAATCACAGCTGTCAGTCGCCCACACAGTGTAACAACTCAGGTGCTGGAGCATTGCTGTGTCCTGTGTACCTGTTTCCCACACGCAATGTGTTTCTGCTCTTCCACTAATTTCCAAGATATAGATGCTGACGAGGCTCCGGTGGTTTCCTCTGCCTCAATGAGGATGACTTTCTGGCTTTCGGAAACCATCCCAGACTTTCTGGCCACTGTTATTGCTGTCTGAAGATTGTCACCTAGAAAAAAGGAAGAGCATCCCAACGTGACACTGAAGAGATAAAAGCATCATGCAGAGCCTGAAAAGCCAGGCTGAAGGATTCAGTTCTTATTTTAGGTGTAGAGAGAGATAATTTCTAAGGACTTTTTCAGTCCTGTCATTTCAGGATCTCTTTTCTGCTTCCTGCTCCTTCCCTCCAGGCGACTTCATAAGCTAGCAGTATATTTTTGCCAGAATGAAAGAGCAAACATTAAAAAGGCAAAATTCAAATCCATTTCTAGCATTTGTTAGGAGCTTTGTGAACATTTAGGAAACCAGGTTAGTATTATATGTGATGGTTCCCATTCCAGTTGAGGGGGAGTAAGCCTACTATAATCTACCTTTCCCATTAATTACAAATGAAAACTCTTTGGAACACCACATAAAAAGCAACTACCCAAAGAACTTTAAAAAGTTAGCAAATAGGAACAGGCTGTGCAAAAGAGGCAGCCTTGGAGAAGCAGCCTACAAGGACTGAGAGTCTCAGCTTCTCATCCCTCTCATGTTGGACTTGAATACAGACTCCAGCACCAGAGCTCTTCAGGAAGCCAAAACCCCTAAGAAGCCAATCTTTCACGGCAAAGGAGCCAATAAAAGAATCCCTCATAGGCTTTACATTGTGGTAGAATGAATTCTGAGAATATGAGAGCTGCAAAAAGAGGACTAATTCGGTGTTCAAACTGTGCAAGGCTTGGGCTGAACCCAAAGCTCATCCAGGATGGCAGAAGTCTCAAGGATTAAACTAATCCTTGTGTAGAGAAAACCCAAATATCATAGGAAAATATTAAAGAGCCACCTCCTGTAATAGGCAACACGGAATTTGTAGCAATTGCTGGCTAAGAAAAAAAAATCAACATTTTCCAGAATATTCTAGAGGGATCCTAAGTTTCATGGAGTAATGTCCAAGATGTTGAGAATACTGCACATACAAAATGTATGAAATACCTGGCCAATTCTCAGCTTTAAAAAATCAATAGCTCCCAATCCTTTGATGACTTGAATGTTGAAATCCTCAAATAGTAGCTACTGCAAGTCTCCTTCATACGGCAAATGTTAATACTCGTGGAACAACTGGAAAACCAGATGTTCTCAACAAAGAAATATATAAATGGCACAAAAAAGATCTCAATAAAGAAATTATAAATGATAAAAAAAACCTACACACTATAGAATTTTGATTTTTTTTTAAATCCAAGTATGCACTCAATAGCAGAATCAAGGTGACAAAAGAAAGGGCCAGTGAACTGGAAGACTGTTCAATAATAATTATAGACTATGGAGAAAAGAGGAAGTTAAACAAAAATAAAGAAACTCAGGGATATCAAAAGGTCTACCATTCAGGTGGATGGAATCTGGGAAAGAAAGGTGAAAGCTTGAAATGGGAAAAAAACCCTCCATGAAATAATAGCAGAAAGTTCTCCAAATATAGTATAAGACTAAAATTCACAGATGCAAAAGCCTCAGTGAACCCCAAATGGGAAAATCCAGTTGGATCTACATCCAGAGACAAAAGAATCAAGCTACTAAAATCAAAGCTAAAGAAAAAAACAGATGGATAAAGGGAACACATTACAAATGAGGGGACAAGGATTTACGTTTTCACCCAGTCCTGCTCATAAACCGTGGAGGCAAGAAGACAGTGGAACTACATCTATAAAGCGCTTTAAGAAAGGAACCTTCAGCCCTGACTCCAACAGCTAGAGAAACATCCTTCGGGAATAGAGGATAAATAAAAATATTCTAAGATGAAAGAAAACTAACATAATTTGTTGCCAGCAGATGTGTTCAAAGGAAATGCTAAAAACAGCTCTTCAGGCTGAAAGGAAATGATACCAGAGGTTAATTTCTACTTAAGGAATAAAAACAGCACAACAGAAATGAGAAAGCTCCAGGTAAACATGAAAGACTGTTTTCTCCGCTTCTGTTCTTTAGCTCTCAACTGCTGAGAGGAATTACAGTACAGTAACAGATGTTGGGGACTGACACCTGTAACATATGGAAGAGGGAAGGGACATTCCTGGTTTAAAACTTCATGGAATGGTAGGTACATATATTGCTTCATAGAGCAACTATGAAAAAATAAATAAAACGGTTTCTGGCTGACTGTTCTTGGCTGGCTTCTCCTAATTTTCAGCATAATAAACATGAGGACTGGTGGAAAAGAACAGGCAAATGGAGCCCTGGGAGCAAAGAAGTTTCTGCATGTGCTTGCAGGGAGCCCACAGCTTCTCTTGGCACTATGGGTCCCCTGCCTGTGGCAGACCACCATGGGAGAAGCACAGCCCAGGCCTGGGCTTCAGTTATCTGACAAAGACATTTCCAACCTATGGCAGTCTAAGGGGGCCCCCCTAGAAAAATTTTCAGGGATGTGGAAGGCAATTGGATCATTAGGGGTGCTATACATATGCGTGGATTCATCACCCACTGAGAAATCCACAGCCTGACATGCTGTCAGGTGCTGGGCCAGGTGGGAAGACGCAGAGAGCTGAGTCACAGGGAAGGTGAGCTGGAACAGTCTATCTTCCTCCCTAGCTCATCCTTTCTCTCTCTGCTTCTTTTTGGCTACTGTATGATCAGCTGTTCACCAGACACATCTATCATGCCCTTCCTCCCTTGGAAAAGTATTCATTAAAAAAAAAAAAACCTCATACATTTCCCTTTAGCAATTCCTTCTCCCTGGACTTTTGCTTGTTTGATCCACAGCATGGAATGAGGAATAAAGAGGGTGACATTTGTCTTTTATCTCCAGAATTACAGACTTTCTTATTGATAGGCCTTCGCTGTAGTTTATAGATCACATTGACTAAGCATCTTTCATCTTCTCATGTTTGACAATAAACACCATCATCTTTGCATGGATCATATCTTCTTGTCATTCAGCTCTTAATTCAAATATCACTGCTCAGAGAGGTCTTTCTCAACTGCCTCCTCCAAAATAGATGGCCATCAATCAATCAGCCAGTCAAATAGTTCAGTAAATGTATTGAGGTACACAAAATGGGGTGATTGACTGGCTGATTGACTGATTCATTGAGAGAGTGATTGATTTTCTTTCACCCCACTGCAGTAGAATCTTAAGGAAAACAAACCTCCAGCGGTGCCTTGCCCTACAGTAGATAAATAACACTATTTGTTAAATGAGCCTCTTCCCACATCAATCCCTCGTTATTTTCATTGTCCACTTGGTCCTATACCTGTGATCATCACGGTCCTTATCCGTGCTGAGATAAGCTCTTCCAAGACAGGTTTGGTCTCTTCCTTCAATCGATTCTCCAAGATGAGTAATCCCAGAAATACCAGGTTGGATTCTACCTTCTCCCTTGGGGGAAAGAATGGCACATTGTAACTTCTTCACAAGCTTGAAAAAGAAAAAAGATCCCTGTTACAATGGACCCACTCACTCACTCAAAGCTCTGTTTCTGAGGCACTGATTACGTGCCAGAACTAATCCAGAAAGAAAGAAGGAGACGTAAGCAATGTTTATTCTGATTGACTCCAGAGCAAAGGAGTCCTTACTAAACAGAAATTTGCCACTAGCTTTTGTAGAGAATGATCTAAGTGACTGTAAGGGTCTCTTGTCCACTAGGTGTATTTGATTTTTATTCCCTAACCCTTAGCCACCAAGAGTTCTAGTTCTGGGACAAAACATCATGGCAAATAAATGAGGCACAAGAAAGATAGAATGCCAGTTTCTCCAGAAACCAGCGCTATACCATTTTAGCCCAAGGAGGTATATGATACAGGTTGAAAGTAGACCTTATTATTAATGGCACACTTCTTCCTCTGCCCTTCTGCTGGTAGCATTGCCCCTATTCACAGACTCTGTGTTTCTGCAAGTAGTGAGGTCCCCAAGGTGCCATATACAAGGACATCTTCAGGAACATTCTACTGAACCAAGTGTAAGGGACTTGGTATTTGGAGTTGGAGATTCATAGAATCTTGCATTATTCATTTATTTAGACACAGACTCAAAAGCAAGACAACAGTTCTACCCAATTTTGGCTGAAACACAGATGTAAGTAGCACCCACTGAAGCCCACCTGCAATCCAACACTGCATCTTACAGCTCCAGGGTCATGAGCTAGATTTAGTGATGTTTCGAGGAACCAGTTAATACCTTCACTGGGTGAAAGTGACACAGAAAGTGACACAGTTTCAGCTACTTGCCTCAGAGCAATACCAGAAGAATGGTGTTTCCTACTCTGAGCCTTCCTGTGATTTGTTCCAAACTAGCTCAAACTTTACCTATGACGAATTTTCCTCCCTTCCTGAGCTCCATGGATATGCTGTGGGGTTACTCATGTCCTACCTTTGCTCCACACTGATGTTAGGCTTTTCCTCTTTATCTCATGGAAAAGTTTAAAAATCCTATGATCTGCCATTGAAATCCTTCTTGCATTTTCAGGCTCAGCTCAAACACTTCCTCCTTCCTGAAGTCTTCTCCACTTGGAAACACTCTCTCCCTCAGTGTATTACTTCTACCTCAGTTTAGTTCTTTTTATTTGTCTATGTACTGTCATTCTTGGCTTTCTCACCTATCTGTCCCCATCCCCTGAAGGCAAGACTTCCCAATTTCACGCTGTGTTAAACAGTGCCCACATGGTGCCCACACAGAGGCAGAGCTCAGCAAAATGTGCCTGAACAAACACTGATGCCTCTTGTGACTGTTTGCTCACGTAGCTTAGGAAAATCCATTTCCTTTCCGAGGTTCCTCTCTGGGAACTCAGTCTCTTAGGCCTATCTGTGCTTACTGGGCACCTAATGAGTGAAGAGAAAAGGACTGAGGAAAACAGGGAGAGAATATGCAGAAAAGGTATTGGCCCCAGCTCCAGAGATTTCCCATTCAGCCAGAAGGAAGCAATCAGACATGACCACGTACGACTCATAGGTAAGGCAGGGAAGCGTACCATGACAGATGCATGAGTCAGAGTCTCACAGAGACAGAGAGGAGGAGGAATCATTTCCGAGTAGTGATTGAGGAAGGCTTGCTGGACAGCCATGGGAGCTGGTCTACCTAGGATAACTTAGCGATGTCTGATCAAGGTCCTGCAGTCTTTCTTGTAGTCCTAACACTCAGGAGTCGGGCTTTAGATATTTTTAGAGGTGAGATTACATGAGGCAGCCACCAGGTAGAATGTGAGGCCAAGAAAATTGCTCTAGGGCCAAACATTAGACATAGCCCATGGCCCACCTTCCCACTAGTATTTCTAGTTCCTCTAGACTATGACCTTTTGAGGGTTCAGTGCACAATACCTAGGAAACCAACACTGGGATCTCAGCCCAATCACAACCTTGCTGTGTGCCTGTGAGTTCACTGCTCTCTTTATCCAGTAATCTAGTTCGTCTCTGGGTCTCCAAGATCTCTGCTAGCTCTGGCATTTCATCAGTTTTCTTTTCATGAGTGATCAGTCTGAGGCAGGAAATAAGGAGTAAACCTCTGAGGGGTCCCAGGTGTGTCAACCTAGCATTGCAGGTTGCCTTTTCCTGCTTCTTGCGCAGATGCTATGCTGAAGGAGATGACCTGGGTAATTCCCTTTGAATACAGAACAATTGTTTCAGTATTAGTTAAACCAAACTTTGTCTCCGTGTACTGATACGTACAGATCTGACTATGCTATTTTTTTCTCCCTTCAATTGGCTCTAAGCAATGCGAATAAAGCCAGCTGAGGTACTGATGCGTAGCCCTTAAGGCCCCTGACAGCTTTCTGTTTCTCATACTGTGTTCCCTATAAACAGATGAGCACAGCAGCATAGCAGAGCCACATAGCTCCAGCATGTCAACTGGTCCAGCCACAAGAGAAGAGGCTATGACTTCTCAGGGCACAAAGTTTACATATCAGAAACTGAAGCAACTGCGTCCTAAAACCCTTCAAAGGCTACCCTAGTCGGTCTTTCTGCATATCCTTCTCCCTGCATATTGGAAAGGTGCGAGCTCTCCACCTGGCCTGCTCAGCTCACCTTGCTCATGTAGTTTCTGCCATCCTCACAGTCACTTATCCTTGAGCACCTCCTTCTTAATGAGATAATAAATTCTGGAGGACACATGGATCAAGGCCTTTTGCTCCGTGTATCCTCACCTGGGACGGACTCAGAACCCCGTGGCTGCCCGTAACTATGAATATGTCTTAGTGTCTTCATTCTCGCTGTGGGTTGTACTAGAAGTAGTAATTGAAATTCATTCCAATAATGTATCAGTGGGATTACAAATATAATTTTCCAGACCACAAGGGGGATGAGATAAAAGATTACAACATTATAAGGAATTACAGTATTCAGTATCGGATTATACTATTATGCCTCTCATGGAAGCACCTAAAACTAATAATGTACGGTGATATACTGTAGAAGAATTGTCATTCCTGTAATTTTGCTTCATGTTCTTAAAAATCCAAATGAATTTTAAAGGAAGAAACATGCATAAAGTTAGCTAGTAGCCTTCAAAGCGATTGTCATATCTGTGCTGGAACACACACACTCATCCACACCAAACAAAACAAAACAGAAAACACAAAGAATGCTCTGTCTTAACCGAGGATTAGCAGGGATAGGCCAATTCACTTATTCAAGCATATATATCATGATTATGTAGCTTTGACACAGAAAGCAAATTGACTACTTAACATTGTATCCTCTGGTGGTATGACTTCACAAGGTGTTTACCAGGTTTAGAATGTAGTTTCAGCACCTTTGATGAGGGCACACACTCTTCTGGGCAAATAGTTTATGCTCACCAGCAGAAGCAGTGTGTTAACCAGAATCCTGCTATATCCCTGGCAATGGTCTCAAGTGCGCTTTGCTACAAAATGTGACATTTAGCCAGGCATGATGGCACCTGTCTGTAACCCCAGTTACACTCTATGTGGAAGGCTCAGGCAAGAGGATTTCAAATTCCAGGCCAACCTGGCAACTTAGTGAGAACATGTCTCAAAATAAAATACAAAAAGGCCTAGAATGTCAGTGTGAGGTCATATCCAAACCCCAGTATAACACACTCACCAAAAGTATGACATTCAAAGTTCACTTTTAGTTCTCTGACTTGAGTGAAATCAAGAACTCATAAAAAGTGAATTGATCAGATTCAAATAAATATCTAGGATTATCCTCACCAAAGTTTTAAGGGTCACACTATACTTGCCCCAGAAAAAGTGGTCTGATGAGTCCAATTGTCCAATACGCAGTGACTCCAGATGAGCCATTTCCCCTGTGGGACTTTGCTGCCCAGCCACAAGTGAGAAGGTTGGTCACATCATCCCGCTCAGAGGGACAGAGCTGCCTCCAGGGGATATGAGCAACACAGAGAGAATGATGCCACCTGCATGTACCTTTGGAAGACTTTCCTGAATATTCATCGTAATTAACAAAGGATGCTTTGCTAAATCAGCTAACATTCATACAGTTTACATTATTCTACTATACAGTGTACTATACTATTGTGTACATTACTGTATTAAACAGTTATAAACTTGTAGTATCCTTCCCCAGCACTGTTTATGTATTTTTACACATGATTGAATTTTTCAGAAATTGTAAGTTGTATGCAAATTGAGAAGAAATTACATTATTGTCTTTCCAAGTTTTATCCAGAGTTGCAAACCATCTCACAGTCACCTCATGGACAGTCAGATGGTTTGCTAGAACTGAGACAAGACAAGGTAGCATCCCTGTAACAGTCAGTGTTTATATCTGCTGCAACCCCAGGAGTTCTGCACCCAGGTGCAAACTACATACTCATTTTGTTTCCGTGGCATCAGCTGAGGATTCCTTGAGCTATTGCTTTCATGATATATGTTTTGTTTTTAATTTAATTTATCGGAAGACATTGTGTTTGCTTTTTGCAAAGCAGATACACAGACAATATTACATACAAATTTTATTTTAGTATATTACAGGAAAAATCTAAAATATAGTTTCATCTAGAGCGTGCTGAACATAATCTTGAAAAAAATACATTAGACCTTCCTAATTTAACATCTTGAATAAAAAATATGAGCTATGATTTTATCCATGGCAGCATAACTCTAGTAGCTGCTAACAGAGTATTGGAAATAGCATGAGAGAGAAAATCAACACAGCAACCTAAAAACAATGGAAAATAAAATCACAACAAATAAAGTTGAACTCATAACACACTGCAGAACATTTTGGCTGATAACACCCCTATTTTAATGGGTGCTTATCAAAATTTTTCCTAATCGGATCCTGTAGAAGCTTTTTTGTGTATTTCTGCAAGCATTGACTAGCTTACATAAGTTCAAGTCACATTTCTTTGTTTCATTAAGCTATATATTTCTTATGAAGAACATTTTCAGGATGTTATATTTCATTACTTCCAACTCCTCCATTGTAATTTTTTAAGAAATAAGGACATGACCACAATTCCCAACTCTGAAACACTGGTTGTATTCATATGTCTGTTTTTGCAAAGTTATAAAATGGCATTACATTATGTTTTAAGTTCTCTGTAGCTATTTCCAAGAAATTCTCTTGATTAGTGTTCACACCAGCTTTGTGGTTTGGGCAGAGCAGGGATGACTGACTGCACACCTGTGCTGTGATTTGGATCTAAAATGTCCTTTTAAACTCTCACATACTTTGAAGGCAACTGGATCATTTGGGCACTATTGACCTCAGTGGATACGTTCTGTAACTAATCATAGCTGGCTTGCTGTTAAAAGGTAGAGCCTGATCACAGGCAGATCACTAGGAGTATCGCCTGGAAGGGTATATCATTGTCCCTGGCTCCTCCCTTCTCTTTCTGCTTTCGGGCTATCACGTGCTGAGCACCTTGCTCTCTGCCACGCCCCTGTGTCATCCTGTTTTGGCCTTAGAACCAGCCTGATCTGAAACTAGGAGTCTCCTCCTTCAAGTTGTAGGTGTTGGATATGTTATAGCAGCAGTAGGCAAGGAGTTAGTGCAATATTTTACCAATGTTTAAAGACACTTTGTGCGTAAAAATTGAGCAAGGTATGTTGCTGAGTTCACCACCCAGAACCCTTGAATCCCATCCCAGCCTAGTACCGCTCCTCAACAAACCATTCTGCTCTGTTGCAATCCTCTCCTTTTACCTCGTTAGGGCAGCTGTGTGGTGGTCAGCTTCAAGCTTCTTGTAGGCCAGTGCTATCACCCGGAACCCTTGTGTCGTGTAAATCTGGAGTTCACTAACAAAACTGGTTGGTACTGTTTAGGAAATAGCATGGATTAGGATGTAATCATGACTCAGCTAGTACTGTCAAAGAAATTTTTTTTACAAACACCCAGCTCTCTCCAAAAAAACAAAAGACAAAAACCAAACAAACAAAAAAACCCACACTGGGGCCCGGGATTTAGTTCAGTGGCATAAGCGCCTGCCTGGCAAGTGCAAGGTTTGTGAGTTCGATCCCCCTCAAAAAATAAACAAAAAAAATCCCCCCACATTTCCAAAAAGTTATACAAACAAGTCAGTGAGAATTATAATATAACTACATGTCAAAGCTGAGTTCTTAGCATCTAATGAAGCTGAAATGAAAACAAAGTATTTGGAAAAAAAATGGAAAAAAAAGAGAGAATATATTAAATTCTTTCACCCAGGTATCCCAAGTGTCAGACATTGGCCATGCAGAGATTAAATGTCAAGCCATCCTCTAAGGCTTTCTGTTTAATTGGGTAAAAGGTACACCAACAGTATAATTGAAAGAGATTATTGCTTATATCCAAGCAATTATAGGGAGGGACAGAAGCATTTAGTGCTGCATCTACCAGGCTAGAAGGAAGAGAGAAGGAAAAGGAGGATTTGGGTATCGTTACTCAGGATGGGAACCTGGGACACACAGGAAACAGGATCAACAGGCTTGATGTTGGCACAGAGACTGAAATGTCCATGAGTCGGCCATCTGGTGATGACCAGCAGCAAGAGGCTCCACAGACTGTGGGGACATGTGTGATAAGAAATACAGATCTGCCTGTTCACTAACCTGTCTCGGGCTGGCAAAAGCTGGCCACCCTCTCTGGTGCACCCTTCATGAATGCCAGTCGGTCACCACCCATCTCTTGGATAATGACGGTCATCCTCTGCAGGGCTGATGAGAATGGGAACTGATGCAAGATTGCGATGCCTTCCACCGGGACCTAGTGGTAGGATGGGGAAGAGAGAGGAACATGGCAGCGATTCTAGCCATCAGGAATTGACTCCTCCTCCTCCGATCCTTATTTTAACAAATAAAGAGGAAATGTTCCTGCATTTCCCACAGCTAAGATTCAAAGACCCAACTGTGAGTTTTCTAAACCTGAGGACCGGATGGGCACTTCCCCCGGAGTATGGGCAGTGGGAAGGGAATGGCAAGCAGGCCCTACCTGGCTGGCCGTTCTGCAGGGCTTAACTACCATCGCATTAGCTGGCACTCCCTTGAGGTGGAAATCCTCTTCAGATGCAGTCATTTCCTGTTTCACAAACGGAATATTTCTTTGTGGAGATTTGTTTACTGCTCACCCACTGATACTATGTCTAAACTGTCCGCGTGAAAAGCTCCTCAGACCACCCAATGTGTTCTCTGCATTGCTTTCTCTATTAGATGAGAGGAACTAAGCTTTTTCCATAATGGGGGGCAGGAGGGAGGGAGACCTGTATTGGAAATGCTACAGAACTTGAAGGGCAGACCTCCTGAATTATTCATGCAATTTATTGTGCTTTCTCTGTTGGAATGTGCTGCATAAAGGCTCCTTCTCTCTTTCTGAAGAGCCAAGATTTAAAGATAGCGAGGGAGACTGTGAAGTAGGCACCTTGCTGTCTTTCTTTCCCAGCGCCCACTGGCTGTCCATGCTGCCTTTGTGATCTGTGTAATACGGGTTGATGGGCCTCAGGGTGGGGCAGGGTAGGGGCTGCTCTGTGCATAGTAAATGTTCAGTAATTGCTGTAATGATGACTCCAAATTATAGCCAAAGGAACCTTTTACCTAAAGATATCGAAGAGCTTTGTAATCATCTCATTGAGTGGCTGGGAAAAATGTCAGACAGGAAATTGTAATCTCTACTTAACGATATGGAAACTGTAATCAAGAAAGGATGGAGGATTGGCAAGGTTACATCGGATTGCTACAGAAACATGTTGTTAGAGCTGGAAGGGTCCTGAAGATTGTGTTGCACATAATGTGTCAGCAGGCCTAGCTAGAGCTGTAAGCAGCTGTAGGGAAAAGGAGTGAGCTGAGTTATCTCAGAGCTTAGGAAGTTTGTCCCCTACTCCCATCGGTAGCCTCACCTCCTAACTCAGCCCAAGCAACTCCAATTATTTAGTTTTTAAAGAGTGCTTTTGAATGAGGTTTGCCTTTAAGAAAACATTCAGTTTTTTGTCTTATATGTACATCCTGGTCTAATTCAATCTCTTCATTCTATAAGCATAGGAGACAAAGTCCCAAAAGAGGGAGACTTGCGAGTGTTAAGCACTTTGTATAGCTAAACTTAGAACTGGAAGGGCCAGATTCCTGAACTGCAATATTTGCTCTTAAATCCTGATCAAACTCTCAAGAAAAGCTCTGTAATGTTTTTCTTTTTTTTTACTGAGAAATAAAATCAATAAAAACTTAATAGCAGTAAATCTCCAGGTCACAATGAGTCCATGAGCAGTCCCAAGCAGTATGGACAGTAGTGTTTCCTAATCCCAATGCTCTGGGAAAAGAAATATCTTCATTCCTCATTTATATTAGGTAACAAATAATAATTGTGTGTATTTATGGAGTACAGTGTGATATTTTAATCTATGTATGCACTAGAAAATTTGATCAGGCTAATTAACGTACCATTTGCCACACAAAACTAATTCTTGAAGACTTTGAAGCCAAGTGTTGCTCATAGACTAGTACAAAGAGTTGGGAAATAATTTTGTAATAATAATAATAAATACTATTGAATTTATAACACATGCCAGGCACCATACCAAGAATTTTTTTAAGTCATCATCTCATTTAATGTTCACAATAATCCTACAACATTGGTAAAATTACCAGCTTCGCTGCACAGAGGAGGAAACCAGCCTTGATAGTTGGCCCTTTGTTCCATGTGGAAAACTTGCATATTTCTAAATATTAACGAGGTCTGTGTTGCACTGACATTGATGAAGTTTCTCAGATTCCCTGAAAGGCAGAGGCTTACCCAGGTGGTGGCTTCAAACATCTTGAGATCCAGAGGGTCCCCTTGGATGGTCTCATTGAGCAGGACAAGAGAGTGACAGCTGGCCATGGCCGCGCACAGGGGGCCCCACGGCAAAGCCTTACCTGAAGCAAAGCTGTGCACTTCCTGGAAGCTAAAGCAGAAGAGAGAAAGGGCTTCAGTACTAACCCCTCCTGCCCAAACTGCAGCTTCGTGGAGGTGAATATCTCTTAGAAAAGCAATTTAATATGCTTTATTTCATTAGACACCCACTCGCAAATCCACCCACATTAATAGTACTCCATTTAGTTGTCTTTCTTAGATAATTCATTAACATCAGAAAGATCCCTAAGTGCCTTCAAGCTTTTTTTTTTTTTTTTTAATTTTTCTTACTTCTCCTCAGGCTGATTTAGTTCCAGGGAAATTGTAAGATCTGGATGTCTTGCCCTTGGTTCTGAGCTCCCCCACTCCTGCCTCAACTATGAATCATTTGTTTTCGAACTTTTGGACAGAAAAATCTAGTTTCTCCTCTAGCCACTGATAGGCACATCTTGTTCCATCAGTCCTTCAGGCAGGGTTGGTCTTCTGTATCCTTCTCCCAACATACTTGATATGTGGCCCACAGCAGACGATGATAAATGCATGAGTGAATGAATGAATGGATTGGTTCCTAGAAATCAGCAAAGCCATCGTGGTGAAAAAATGAATAACAAAATCATTTTTGAAAAGGACAGTGTGTCCCTCACTGAAGATCCTGTGTCTGTACTGCTACTACTACGCTCATAAACTCTTATGAAAAGTGACATCATCTAAAAACTTAGGGAGATAAAAGCCAAATTCTTTCACTAACTCAGAATGGAAGTTACTGAGTTCAGTCTTGGGTCCACTGGAGGGATGTCCTCTGCAGCCTATTGGCCAGACTCTTCTTAAATGTGTAATACAGTTGTTGGTTTACAAAATAGTCATGTTAGGAGGGATAGCTCACAACAGTCATGTTAGGAGGATAGCTCACAATGGCGCGAGTTCCTTTCTACACAGAAGTAAAATTTACTTCAAGGAGCCAGTCAAAATCTACTCCCTTACTTTTCTCCATGTATCTGTTCCTTTTGGATTTGTGGAATTACCCCCTACCTTTTATCCTTCGTTCTTCTGGGGCTACACCAGTTCTGTAAGACCTCTCACCTTCCCGATTGCTCTGCCTTGGAAAAGTTTTTGTCATGGTTTATCTCAAAATGTGACCTCAAGGAACAGATTCATGCTTATTGATATGTTCATTTCTTGAAATATAGTCACTGGTGAATCTAGCCTTTTGTTTTTGAAAGTCATTCCTGTACTTATATTTTTATTTGATTATTTCTAATTTGTCAAGCTCAGGTAGCTTTCATTTTCAAGCTCAGGTGGCTTGATACATCTGGAGTTCTGGTTGGGCCCTTTGCAGACAAGCTAAGGATGATCAGAGATGAATGAGCTCACCTCTGCCAAGAAGATGTTTAATAACTTGGAAGTTAGGCACTGACTTTAGCTAGATTAAATGTTTACTTACATTAAATGTTTCCTCACATTTCACGAAATACAGCTGTCAATTTGTTTGGCTTTAATATGCTAGTTTAGTCTTTGGAAGCCACATTTGACCTTTCTAAAAGAAGGAAAAGGAAGGAAAATGGAAAGGAGGGAACAAGGATGCAGATCTAATTGAAAGAAAGAGGAAGGAGGGCAGAACAGTAAACTAAAGCTTGTATCTTGTTCTTATTCAAATTTAATAAGTTAGATTTTTAGAAACCTAAAGTTTCCCCAAAGTCTTGTGCATAATATGTTACAGGCCAATAAATAGGACATTGAAAACAGAGTCATACCTAGTGCCTTTCCCCGAGTGTTCACTATGCACCTATTACGACTCCTGCTCCACAGCTACAATGTTAGGTAAACAAATGAGGAAGGAACAGTCTGTTTCCCAAGATGCTCACATACTTGCATGAATGCGTACATTTTTGATAGAAGCAGGAAAGGAAAAACACAATGAACAAGAAGACCCAGTATGTATTCAAATCCAGCCTCTACCAAAAAAAAAAAAAAAAAAAAAAAAAAAAAAAAACTCTAGAAAATTTAACATTTATATCACTTCTTTCCGCAGATTAAAATGGTTAGAAACACTAGGGTTACTTTTAAGCCTATAAAATAGACTTGTTTTATGGTAAATTAATGGTATTTAATATGCCAATGTATTCCGAATTAAAAATATTTTGTGAATAACCTATAGATTCTCCCTGCAGGGAGAGAACCAGCAAGTAACACCCTCCTGTACACCAGCAGCAGTAGAGCTGGACAGGAGGGACCCACAGAGAGGAAGATTCCCCACCCCACCCTCAAGGGACCAGTTGATTCAGAGGAACACAGGCTGAGATAACAGCAACTGAGGTTAAAAAAAAAAGAATTTAATGCTTGTATTGTTTGATTGACTTTGATTTGACTATTTAGAGAATAACAATATACAATGTAGATTTCCATCTGTCTTGGTTTTGAAGTCCAACATCATTCTCATTGTTTCATTTCATTTTATTGTTTGTTTTATTCTCTTTAAAATGAAAAAAAAATTATGCATTCTCTGCCTAATGGAAAAGAATCGCAATCTGCCTTTTATCTGTAAAATGCTTTTTGATATAAAGTATAAGCAGAAGTTCACACAGGTTAAGTGCTGACTTGTTACCCACACTGCTTGGAGGTCAAGCAACCTAAGTGTCAAATCTTCCTGATCACTTAGAGGCCAAGGTGGGAGAAACTGTATGTAGAAGAGAGAACTCAGGGACAGCCACCAGAGGGCTGCAAGAGCGGGCCACGGTCATCTTTGCCTCACCACATTGAAAACTGCCAAACGGAGTCTCTTACTGGGGAAAAAAAAAAGATTTTCTGGCACCCAGAAGGAAGAGTTTCCAGAATCAGAATACCAAGGAAAATGAGAACACCAGCTGCAGTTACACACTTGTTCCTCTCCCAGAAAGTCAGGGTACAGGTCCCATTTCCTGTTTCCTCTTCGCCCTGATTGAAAAGCCGCAGTTTTTACAGGGAACATCACTACCTGAAGGACAGTGTCCTGTACTATCCAGTTACTTATACTCGCCCAGTGTCAGGCTCTGACAAATGTGCTGGAAACAAATGACGTTTCAGCAAAGCACTGCGTGTATCACCGAACACTTCCTCCTTCATCTTTTTGAGTGACACAGGGCTGGGAATGGAGTTGGGGCTCAGAGGGTTGTATGTGCACGTTTTAGGGAGACTTAGAATTCAAGAGGAGAAATTAAATAAATGGGCTTTGGCAATCATTGGTTGCCAAATCCAAAGCCCCAATATTTTCATTAGTAGCTTTGAGAGTAAAGCAGGAAGTCTGGAAAAACAGAAATGACACTGCATTTAGCACAAGGCACTCACCCATTCCTGTCACAAGGTACAACTCCCCAGAGATCCAAGCCATCACAAGTTAGGGTGCCTGTCTAAACAGAAACAAAGTGGATTACTCTCAAGAGCTGGTGATGCTTTAGCGAGGGAAAATAGATGTTTTAGTAGAGAAATGCAAATCACAAACATATTATCAAAATGGACCCTTGCAGGGCAGTCACAATAAGCCAATTCTCTGGACTGAAGTTTTGATCACCTCCAAGCAGTGTGGGTGACAAGTCAGCACTTAACCTGTGTGAACTTCTGTGTCCTCGGTGATAAAAAGAAGAGAGTAGCATCTTCCCCACAGACCTCGGAGGAGTGTTTTGAGGATGTAATGGTAGGAAGAATGGATGGGAAAGACCTTGGTGAGCCTGGAAGAGCTATAAAATGGGCAAGTGCCAGGTTTACAGTAGAAGTCAAAAGCACGTCATTAGAAAGAAGCAATGGGATAGAATTTTTACCTGCAGGGCACTGTTAGGGAAAAGACTGTAAAGAAATGGTTGGTTATTTGGTAACTGGGAAAACAGTGTGCACTGCTATTTTTCTTGGTGCACTCTAATGGCTGAGTTCAGACTAAGTTCAAACACCTTCTTTGTAGTGAAAAAAATTACTTAATCCCTATAAATATTAGAGCTCTTTTCTGCAGGTTATAATCACCTAGTGTTCTTGTAAGGATTAATTGAGATGATATAAAGTGCTTATTTTAATACATAGCATACAGTAAAAGCTTTGTTTTCATTTAAACCTATGTCATGTTTATTCCTCTTCTCTGTTTACCCAAGTCCACAGATATGACCTCACATACACAAAATATCCTTCCTTACAATGCTAGTGCAACTAAAAAATAATACTCAGTGTCAACAAAAGCCACGTTAACCTTCAGGGTTTAGTATACATTTAAAATTTTCTAATTATAAAATAAAGCTCTGACTCTATCAATTTGCAGGCATCAAAACCTTCAATGTATTGTTTGATGAGTTTAGAGTTTTAGGCTGGGAAATTGAAGAGATTTCTCAAAATGGCTGTGATGATGATTACAGAGCAATAATACCAATGGCCCATCTATATAACTAACGTGATAAAATTGATTGCATAAATAGATATATTGCCACTATAAAGGAGTGAAAGGAACTTAACAAGGGTGACAACGATTTTCAATGGCTCTTTGCTGCTTAAAGAATATGTACAATTGTTTTAGGCAGAAGTCGAGGTCCACCATACCCTCTTCCAGTGTTAGTGTCCTGTCTTTCCTCACACCACGCCCCCTTGTTCGCCCGCAGCCATGTGCACCGGCCTATGGCGCCCCTCATTTCTGTCTCACCCTATTATAGCTCACCTTCATTCCAAATCATGTGTGTAGACTAAACAAATAACCTCAAGGGAAGGTGGTGTAAGAGGCTGGTCAGGAAGTGGTAAATAATCAAGAATAATTTTAAGCAATAAATTATAAATGGAAACCTACAGCAGTCAGGGTGGTGCTTTCTTGTAATCCAATCTCATAGTAAGACAGTTTCATACAGTCTTCCTTTTTATTCATTTAATTAATAAATACTTAGGGGACATTAACTATATGCCAGGCAGTACTCTTAGCATTAGGAATCCAGGAGTTACTATGCTAAAGGTCTTAAATTTTATTTTTTGCATGAAAGTTTTCACTGCAAAAGATAACATGATATTTTAATTTGCTGTTTTTCATAGGCTGTCAAAACTACAAGGACTTTAAACAATTCACCTATTCCATATGAATTCTCCCTTCTCAAAAGCTTAGAATCTGAAAACTCAGTGTTTTCCAAATCCTGCACCCATCCAAGAAAGAAATGAAGTCAGTTCCCCACGTTCTCTGTTTTCTGCCTCATGAAAGGATCAAAGTCCCTGTCCTGATGGTGACAGAGAGAGTAATGATGGAGCTCACATACCTTGTCGAAGCAGACAAGATTTAGCTGTCCACACACGTTGATTCTCTGGGGACTGATGCAGAAGATGCCTCTCTTCTTCAGCCTCCTCTGGGCATAGATGACGCCTGTGGTCAGGGCAGCAGGTAGGGCGGGAGGAACCGCAATGGTGATCACATCCAGGGCCTTCTTCACCACGTCCTCTGGAGATTCCTGGAAGAGAGTCATCGCAGCTGTTACAAGTCAGTCATCAATGACCAGCTTTGTGGAAGGCGCTTTTTCTTCCTTTCCATTTTCTCTCTAGGTCAATTTCTGAGAAATGGTAACAGTGGGTAGGTGTAGGTATGACCACATTTCTGGTGTTACAAATCTTTTGGGAAAGCGTGGTAAGGATAGCTTGTAACAATGCTATCAGATTGTACCACTTCACTATGACTGCATCACCTTTGGACAAATGGTTTTATTTAAAATTCTTCATTTTAGTAGACACACAACACTACTTTATTGAAACATACTTCAGATTGAAAATGAAAAAATGATATAAGGTGTTCAAGAGTAGAATCATGTTGATATCCAGTCCACAAATCATTTTATCCCAGTATTCCACAAGATCTGATTGTTATTTGGACTTAATAATCAATTATTTGTAGGTTTCAGTGTTTAGTTTCATTTTCTAGATTTATAAACGATGCCTATGGATAAGGTCAACCTGTAGAACATAAAATATACAAAGGATGAATGCATTTGTATAATAAGAAAGCAAAAACTGCTTACCCCACTGAGAACATAAACACACAGAGTATAGACCATGCCAATGGTGGCTGTCCCCACGAGGCACAAGAGGAACCTGATGGCATCCCTGTAGAGCTTAAAACTCATTGGCTTCGGATAAAGAATAGATCTCACAAGGTCCCCCTTTGCAGTGTTGAATCCTGAAATGGCAGACAAATCTCCTTTTTCATGATGATAGATCTATTGCTAATATTCTTCCAAATCTCAATTTTGCCTCTGTTTTTATCTAGGGATATATAAACATTGTTCAAACCCAAAGGCAATCAAAATTGCCACAATAGAAATATGTTTTCTCTCTCTCTCTCTCTCTCTCTCTCTCTCTCTCTCTCTCTCTCTCTCTGCCTCTTCTTCCAACATCAATACATGGCCAAGACAGGAAACCACTATACTGAGGGTAGAGTGCAACTTTCCTAAATACGACTTATCTTAAGGAAATGGTTTATGGGTACATACATACACACACACACACACACACACACACGTGCGCGTGCACGTGCGCTTGCGCTTCATTTGAATTAAAACTAAGTGCTCCAAAAATACTGATGGACTAAATTTTCTAATACTTTCCAGTGTTAAGCTTTCAATTTCTATCTCTGTATAGAAAAAAAAATAAGACCTGAACTCCTATCTAGCTCTGTCGGTTACTGGCAGTGTCATTTTTAAAACATTCATTTGAATTGCATGGCCTCACCCAATTCATTCATGTAAAGAGCCAAGACCTTCATCTTTGCCCTGCTGGTTTGAAGCGTGCAAATAGTTTATATATTGCAAAATGCATAAATAGTGACAATTGTCATCTATATAATTATGCACATGCCATAGTTCAATTGGAAAATTGGCATATAAAACACTAGATTTACATATATTTCATTTGCTAGCCAAAGATTGATCCTCACCTAATAAATTCCGGGCGTGAGACAAGCTGAGCAGAAATATTTCATTAAACAGAACAGAGAGGAAGAGACTCACCCGTCTGCAGCACCACTGCCCTCACCGTCCTGGAGCAAGCTGGCTTGGCCTGGACCACCTCTGTTCCGCAGAAGAGGATGTGCCGCTTATAATCCGCTTCGCTCTGCGTTTTCCAGGGCAGAGGGCTGTCTGTCTTGGGTAGTGGAGTTTTGGTGACTGGGATACTTTCTCCTACAGAAAACAAGCACCTCGTTTTGTGGGGTAGAATCCATTTCCTTGTGTAAATCAGGCCTGCATTCATTCATCAGTGTCACGGATGTTTATGTGATAGAAACCACCCCACTGTATAGGGGATACAAAATCAATGAGGCTTAGACATATAAAGAAATCAACAGAATTCCGTATCATAGTATTACAAGTACTGTGGATCAGCGGGAGTGTTAAAACAAGTTGGACACAACCTGTTAGCGAGTAGCAAGCTGCAGCCTCGACTATGAGCATGAAGAAAACAATGTGGGCCACACAGGAATTGAGACACGGAGAACCCCAAGTATAGCACAGTTAAGTGTTTGAACACTTTTCTGTAGACTCTGGTGACCGGAGGAAGAGGATGAGATATTAAGTACTTTAATCAGATTAGCATCATGTCACGTGTAAGAGAAAATCCTCTGTCCACTGTACATGGGATAAATTGAAGTCTGGTGATGGTAGATGCTGGACATCTACCTAGGGAAGAGCCCGGGCAGAAGGGAATAGGTTCTGAGTATGGGAATAGAGAGGAATTCCTGGATTCAGAAAGCAAGGTTAAAAAAATGCTGCAAAACTTGAGGGAATTTTTATGCTGACAGGTCATAGGGACAGAAGAGTTGAAACGTTGGGAGGCAGAGCTGACAGTGACATCATAGCAGGAATTACTGGAGGAGGGCAGAGGAGGAGCCACTTTTGACCACCTTGAGCTGGAGCTGCTTCATAGAACAGCTCTGTTGAGATAGCCCTTTCTCGTGTGCAGTTAGATATTTGTTGGAGTCTGAAGCTCAGATGAGAAGTCTTGACTAAAAACATTTCATCAGAGCTCACCAGCTGACACATGATAAAGTGAGTGTGGGGGAGGAGGGGACAGCACAGGAACATAGCTCAACTCAGCACCAAAATGGTGGAGGCGGAAGAACAGTCACAGCAGAAGAAAGCCAGCCAGGGTGATCGATGGGTGGTAGAAGAATCTGGAGACAGAGCACTGTCTTAGAGAGTTAGAAAGCATTTTCAGAAGGCAAGATGGTCTAGATAACCAAATGCAACAGAGAAGTCAACAAGGAGGGAAATTTTTTAGAGCCACTGGATTTGACACCATTGGTGACTTGTGCCAATGAGGGACAACAAGATCTTATTTCAATGGTTTGAAGTGCTAATACAAGACAAGGTATGAAGGTGTCGAAGGAGGTATGACCCGCTCTGTGGAGCAAGTTTGTCAAGCCATCAGTTGGCCTTTGTAGAGTGAGTAGTACAAAGTCAGAATTGCATTCTGCTATGCGATGGCTGCTTTCATTAGGAAAATAGTGTTCACCACTGCAAAAGTCCTAGAATTAAGGAGCAGTTTCTTCAGGAAAGGAGCCTGACCTCCCATGATCCGCCATGCACCTTATTAGTAAATTCACACAGGAGGGAGATGTGTGTTCTCGTCTACATTTCGTGCCTTTCTGGTTTAGCTGAGAGAAATGAATTAGATACAGACTTTAACAGGAGCCACAGGCTATTGGTGCGCTCTCACCACCTTCCATTTCTTCTCTGAAAAAGTCATGATTCTTGTTTACTTTTCAGAAAGGTTGGCACAACGTCTCATCATGCTACCCAAGTGAGAAATCAAAGCAGTGCAAGCCAGAGCAAGCTACTTCTCTGAAGACCTCAGTGGCTTCGGCTATGTGGTGAGGCGCTTTGAGGTCCCTCTCAGCTCAGTGTGCTACTTAAATATGCAGTGCAGGGAATCCAAAATATGCAGGGCGCAAAGTAGCAAATTTTCCAAAGGCTTCATTAGGAACTTTTCAGCACTTTGAAGCCAGACCAGGATGAGCGTTGCCTTCATCCTGTGGGTCTCAGAATGTCACTGATAGTTTTCAGAGCTACTGAGTTCCTCTCAAGTACTGAAATGCTAGACAGAAAAGTCCTAAGACAGTTCCAAATGCCCTAACAAGTGATGCAATTTGTAAGGTAAAGTAAAAGGCCTCTACTGATTATTTGTTCACAAAATTCTAGAAAAATTATAATTGCAGTGAACATAGGGCAAAAGAAAACAGCTTTAACCTGACCCCTCAGCGCTGTCCACAGCAGGATGAAGTGAGATATATAGTACTAGGAAGGTCACAAAGCACTTTTTAGCGAGCCACGGTCATTGAGGTAGAGTCTGGGACACACACAGAGAAGCTGTGGAGGGGGTGCCATACCTGTGAGCATTCCTTCATCTACCACACAGCTGCCATCGATCAGAATGGCATCGCACGGCATTTGCACTTTGTTCCCTGTCAAAATTAACAAGTCTCCGGGTACCAAGAAGCGTGACTCCAGCTCTTGGACTCCAGCTGAAAATGTGAAGATACAGAGTTGAGTCAGATGATTTCCCCCCCAAAATTCCACAGTCTAACATCTCTCTAAGTTGGAGATCCATAGAAAGACACCAAGGCATCTAAACAGCAAAGCTATCCATCAACATTGTTTAAAAATCTGAAGATTAAGAGAAAAAGGTAGGAAATGACACAAACTTAAAAATATGTGGCAAAAAAAGAAGCTAAGAAAAAAACTGACAAATTCAAAAATATTTTAAACAGACAAACAGTAATATTCTTAACACAGAAAGAATTCCTTAACAGAGAGATGAGTAGCAGTTGACTGAATAACAAATTGCTAGTTTACCCACAGACATGAGTGGTCCATAGGAGTCTGCAAGCTGCTCATCTTTATGCATAATAGGAGAAGGGACATTTCTTATGTTGTTCCTTCTTTCTTTCCTTCTGCCCAGTTGTCATCACATTTTTCCTCCCTTTCAGAATCCCAACGCTTCAAGAGGACTGAGCAAACTCGGCACCCACACAGAGGCAGGGCAGGGCAAAGGGCCAGGCTGCAGAGGATGCTCCAGCCCAGGTAGGAGGGAAGCTGTTTACGTGGCCTTGGCTTTGACAAAGCAGAGCCCGGGCAGGGGGCGAAGGCCCTTTCGGTGGCTGTGGCCTGGTGGGAGACGTGGGCTCTCAGCACTGTGAAAAATGTGTCCGCACAGGAGTGAGGTGGGGAGTGGCGTGAGCATCAGCCGCGCTGGGAGGTTGGTGGCATCCGAGCAGGACTGACACAGTAAGGAGAGTTACCGAGGTTAATGAGAACCAGGTTTGTCACTGAAGCGAGGAAGCTACAAGTGCAGAAAACAAACCAAACTGGAATTGTGGCTTAGAATTGGAGCTCTCAGTGAACTAGAAGGTGGAATAATATAGATATCAATCTGCACGGATATATGAACATCTACAGAGATAAACATACATATGCTTGCTGGTCTATTTGTTTATACAGATCTCTAATTTTTCTTTCAGAGAGGATAGAAAAGCAGTGTAACACCAAGGATAATGGGCACACCTTCTGGCTAAATGTTGACTTCTAAATTCCATTCTCCCCCGAAAAGAAGGAGCTGCCCTTAGGCAAGTAAACATAGACTACAAAGCCGAGCTATAAATAGTGTATAAGTTGGAACATCTTGTTACAAGATTAGGTCAGGAAATGTTTAAATAATGATAGTGATGTATCAAAAAATATCTGAGCCAATTTAAAGGGTCCTCGCTGCCCTGTAACAATGCTAACATCAAAGTAAATAATGATAAAAAGGGTGGTCGCCATGGAATAAAATAGAAATCCTTAAATCCCTAATGACATAAGTAAATGGATAAATAAGTGAGAAGAAAAGATAGCTATTCCTTACAGCAAGATGGCAATTAAAAATTAAGAAGATAAAATTAGAAAATCATTATTTGACAGTACCAAAGTAATGATTCCGTTAAGAAACATCAATGTATGCTGACACTAGTTGGCAAAAATGTGGTAAAGATGGTCTGTTTTTTTTTTTTTTTTGGTATCTCTCAACAAAATAGCAAGGGAGAAGAGAGAAAATTTACAAAGAAACCTTGCAGACACAATACAATTAAGAAATTAAAAAGTTAATGTCACTACTAATAGAATAAATTTGTATTATGGGTCACCCAAGAGAAGCAATAAAAATATGTCATTAGGATATCATGTCTGTGCAAATGTGAACTTAACTATAAGAAAAAATCAAACATTCAAATTGGGTAACATGTCACAAAATAACTAGATTAAAAAGGGTCAAGGTCATGAACCTCAAGAAAAGATTGAAAAAATATAGTAATATGAAAAACAGTCTCACTGAGTGACCCTGGATCTCTTTCCAGAAAAGAACATTACACAATGCAAGTAGGATGTGACAATTATTTAGTGCTGGTGTGTCAATATCAACTTCCTCTTTGCCCTTTCACTTGTCCTGGAGAATGTCTAGCCCTCAAGAAACACACACTACACTGTGTACAGAACATTGAGACACCTGTCAGAAATGTATTGTCAGGTAGTTCTGGGGAAAAGTTATTTTATCCACTCATGCAGCTGTGTTTTAACTTATAAATTATTTCCTAAGAGAAGAAGCATACGTGAGGTAACATGGCTCACCTGATTAGCAAAACCTCTCTGCCAGCCTACTCTGTTGGCAAGGCTGTGAAGAAACTGACACTCACAAATTCCTAGTGCAAATGCAAGCTGGCATAATCTGTCTGGAAAGGAATCTGGCAATATTTATGTAGCAAAAGAACAGATGCATTTATTCTTTAACCTTGCAGTTTTCCTTCCAAAATCTATACCAAAGATCTATTGGCAAAGACATGACAGACATATGCACAAGACTTTTTTACAGCACCACTTGTAAAAGATTGACAAAAATTTCTTTAAAAGAAGCGCAATTGAATAAAAGATGGTTCCTTCCCCTAAGAGAATACTATGCAGCTGAAATAATGAATGAGGGTCAGCTATTAAAGGACCACTGAAAACATTTTTAACCATCTAAGATACGAACGACAGAAAATATAATTGAACATGTTTGGAAACTCTTTTTTATCTAAAATGACTACAGCATAAATACATGTCATTTTGTGTATGTAACATATAGCTATTATTTTCATCTGTAGTTTGCTTACATTTCTATAAAATTATTTATTTTTATTATCCCATGTTTGAAAAGACAATGTTAGATTCTTTACGTGGAGTTGAGATCTGTACGTAACACATTTAATTCCTTTCCACCTCTTTTCTCTCTCCCTCCTCTCATCTCTTGATCCCTTTACCATTTGAGGAATATCTATGTCTCTGCTTTCTATTATCCATGTTTTATTTTGCTCTTCATTTATGTTTTGGGTTTCTCATATAAGAGAAGTCACACCATATGTAAGATTGTGTGCCTGATTTATTTTCCTTAACGTTATAACCTCTAAGTGCATTCATTTTCCTACAAGTGACTGAAATTTATTTTTAAATGTAAGACTACATCAATAATAAAGTGAAGGGGTAATTATAGAGGGAATGAGGATGCAAGACAGAGGAGAGAGAGGAGCTACATTCCCCTCAATGTCTTCTCCTTTGTGGATTTCCTTTTTATACCACAAAGATGTTCCCCATAATAGCTATACAATCATACAAAATAAATTTGAAAGTCTAACATTAAAATCTAAAGTCAAATGAGGGCAATGAACCTAGAAAGTTGTTGGCGAAACCATACAGAATGACATCTGAGTGACTTTAAAGCATAATTTTGCAATAATTTATGCATTTCTAATGAGATATCATAAATTGTGGGAAGAACTCTAAAACATCTTCAGTGGTTTAGGAGCAACACTGATTCCTGAGTGTGTTAGTTTGTTATTCTGAGATTATTGTCTATAACAAAATAAAAACAAATCAGAAGTCTGTTCCAGTCATTGGAATAGAAAGTTTTACTAGAGAGAAAAAAAGGTGCAAATGCAATCAGCAAAGTTAAATTAAATGAAGTTCTAAATTTGAACTGAAAATATTTATTTTAGCAATGTGCCTTGTGAAAAAACTTAGAAATTTAATGATGACCACCATAAAAATTTGCACATAGAATGTGTCAGATTAAAGTTTCTAAGTATCATACTTAACAGGAATTTCAGGCAAATGAATTGTCTAGCTTTGGGGGCATGAATTACTCAATATATAATTTTAATAAAACTCTCGATAACTATTAGAGGCACGTTGAAAGAACTCTGGAACTAACCACAAGAGGCTCTTCCTCAGCAAAAGATGGGGCAATTGAGTGAAAAATAGGAATAAAAATGGTAATGGGTAAAACATATTAACAATGTCCAACATTGTGACACTAAAAAAAAGCCTTTGGAAGATGTTAACCAGCTTATTAGTTTGAAAGGTGGTAAATAAAGAGATCAGATATCAGATATCTATCTTTTATTTCTTAAACTGAATAGCTAAGGAGTGTTTTTCTTATAGAAATATTCCACTTAACATGTGACAGTGGCATGAGAGAAATGGAAAACTGTAACTCCCACTAAAACAATAAATCTGTCATGAGTGCTTACATGTGTCAGGAGCAAAAACGGAAGGCTGTCAGACATGGTGCACTTCTGGTATACAACACGGACCACGGAGAATTCTTGCCAAAAGCTCAAGCCTGAGGTCTAACTACTGTTATACAAGAAGTATAATGAATTTTAAAATGGGTAAAATATCTCCATAAGTATTTAATCAATATATGTAGATTGTAAAACTCATAGGACAAACCACTTGATTCTTTTCAACAAAAAATGGCAAGGAGAAAAGAATAAAATCCAGAGAAGGAGCTTGTGGTATGAAGTAATCTGGAAACATGGTCATTCACAAGATACAGAAATCCTGATTTGGAATTAAACCGCATGTACTTTCTCATACCTCCAATTGTTTCAGCTACATACAATAAGTATACACATCACAAGTGTGAAAACAAGCACATGTTTGATTAGATAGAGGAAATCTGGGCATTACACATGTAATTGATTTATTCTTAAATTATGGATTTCTTAAGGATGTGATACATGAATTGAAAAGAAGTCTTTATATTGGAGTTTTCAAATAAAGTGATATGATATCTTGGATTGTTCTAGAATAATCTGGAGTAAATAAGTAGTGGAACAGATTCTAAAATATAAAGAGCCAGTGAGCTGAAAATTATCGAATCTTAGTGATGAGTGAATGGAGTTTCATTATCAGATTCTATTTTCAAGGTATGTTCAAGGTCTTTTATCATGAATTGTAAGGAAAATGAAAGATCAGGATACTTTAATGTGAAATTGTTTCAAATCAAAGTGGAATTAAAAGGGCAGATTTATCTCCCCACCTGAAGCAATCAAACACCATACAAAACATATTTAGAAGATGTTTGGGAACAATGACCAGCAATAACAAATGAAGTGCTCTGCCTTTGCTTTTCGTTGTCTAAAGAGCTTCCATCCAAAACCCAGAGGACACCCTGAGATCAGAGCACAGATAGCAGTGTGTGGGGGTGAGGGTCCCTTGAGTTTCCAGAGTAGAGCGTAGGATGAGGATGACCCAGGCAGAGCTGCAGAGGCTCGCAGATTCCACCCTCCTACATCTGCGGACTACTAACCAGAGAATGTGCATAAGGGGGTGAGTAGAACACAAACAATCAAATATTTTCAGATGTCAAAATAACATGAAAACTATGAGATAATTAAAATAAATCTGAGAAATAATATGTAAGACTCACACGGTAAGTAAAAATTGCAATACACTGCCAAAAGAAATCAAAGAAGACCTCATTAGATGGAGAGAGCTATCATAGAACACCCCAAAAGAGCCAACTATGTTAGCATGCTAATCCTAATGCTAATTGATCTTATAGGTTCAACACAAACCCAACCACGATGTCTTCATTTTCTTTTTTTATAGAAATAGACAAGTTGATTCTAAAAGTCATGCAAAAATGATATGGGTCCCAATACTGTACCTCAAAATAACTCTAAAACAGAAGAAAAGATTGGAAGTCAAATATTTCAAAACTTATTAGAAAATTACATTATGTAGCATTGGTATGAAGAAAAGAAAACAGACCATTAGAACAGAACATGTGAAGACAAGTGATTTTTTACAAAGGCAGAAAGACAAGGAACTGGAGAAAAGGTAAATTTTCATTAAATGGTGTTACTGTTTAGATATCAGTTAGCAAACCATGAACTTCGACAGCAACCAAAATTCAGAATATAATATAAAATTAATGTAAAACATAAATCTACAATACTTTATAAGAAAATACAGAAAATACAGCTGACCTTGTATTAGGCAAAAATGTCTTAGACATCCTATCAAAAGTATGATCCACCAAAGAAAAAACTGATAACTTCGACTTTATTAAAAGTAAAAACTGCGATTTGAAAGATGTTGTATATTTAATGAAATAATGTCACAGAGAGAAAATAGTTGTAAACCATATGTCCCATGAAGGACTGGTACCCAGAATTCAGAAAGAATTTTTAAATTTAATAAGAAGAAAGCAATGTAATAAACAAAATATTAAATAGATGTTTAAGCAAAACAATGATATATGTGTCAAATAAACAATTGAAGAGATATTTATGTCATTAATCATTAAGGAAATGCAAATTAAAACAATAATGAGATACTTCCAAACAAAAGTGGCTTAAATTAATAAGACTGACATACCAAGGGTAGTCAAGTAAGTGGAACAGCTGAAATTCTCACGCTTTGCCGTTAGGACTGTAACTTGGTACAGCCTCTTGGAAAACAGTTTGGCAGTTTCTTAAGTGTTAAATATCTACTACATACCCACTCATTTCTCAAGTAAATAGTTTCTCAAAAAAAAGTATGTCCCTAGAAAGGCCTGTACACAAATGTACATAGCACCATTATGTATAATAAGAAATAGAAACAACCCAAATATCTTTCAACAGGTGAATGGATAAAGCAACAGGCATATCCATACATCAGGATATTGTCAAGAATAAAAAGAAATGAACTATAGATACACTTAACAAAATGAATGAACCACAGAATCATTATAACTTCAATCCCCTCAAGGTTAACCCAGAATATACAATAAAAGACAAATACACAGTGCGAGGTACCATTTTTGTACAGTAGTACACACAGAAGTTCATCTACAGCTCATGGATTATTAAGAGAAAGCTGGTGACGTCCTGGGTATGGGGGAGGGGAAGGGACTAGGGAAGACTGCAGACAGGTACAAAGCAATTTGGGGGGACAATAGAGGGCTATTATCTTGATGGTGGTGAGGATTTTATAGGTGCCTGTCAATGTGGTATCAGATTTTACTATGTATGCATAAATATGTTCAACTAATAAATTGATTCTGCCTCAGTAAAGTAACGATTTTTTCCCTTAAGGTGAAAAGTTCTCTCGAGTTCTTCCTCCCTATCAACAAATGTACAAGGAACTTGTAATTGCAGATAAAAGTTGGAGGGACAGTCAGAAATCAGAAATACAAATTCAAATCATTTTCTGATTCCATATGGATAAAACACAAATCTAGAATAATGGAACTTACATTTTCTCCCACATACAGAAACTGTAGTGCTATTATGTGCTTCAACTAGATGGTGGAGTTTCATAGATTGCTGAAAAAGAAAGGAACACAGAAAATGTTTATTTATTTGAGTGCAGCCCCAGTTAGTCAGTAAGGTGCTGGCCTTCTGCAAAGCTGAGACTAAGACTGGGTGGTCTAGCCCTTGATGGAAAAGGCTTTTCCCCAGTAAAAACAGCTCTGGGTTCTTCAGAAGGAAGAAATTTCCCAACATGTTCTTGCCACTTAAAATGGCTTCTGAAAACCACAAATCTACACGCTGTTCATGAAGTAGATAGATAACATCAAGAACACTTCATGTGTGTTTATACCTGAAAGGCCTGAAGAACAAAGCATTATTTCTGTTTGGGCTTTTCTATATCAAGACTCCTGATCTATAACTTTTTAAGAAGTCTGTGGTTCTCACTATTTCCTGGTAGCATTTTTTTTTGTTCTAATACACAAAATACATGGATCACTGAGAGTGAGTTGATAAGTAAAGGTGACAGAAATATATAATAAAATAGTATTTGATTTCATATTAGTGAAGAAACTATTGTGCAAGAGACCACCTTTTAGGTTTTGAAGGGTCAAACTTCTGAGTGTGTTCATTTGTTTATTTCTGATTGTTGCCATTTAAGACAAACTTTAAATCTCCTGGTTAAAAATTATTTACAGAACTATTAAATATGTCCTGAGAATGATTAACAGAACTGAATGTGAGCTTACTGACAGATAGGAAATCCAGTAAAGTTAAGTTGAACCACAATACAGATAAAATGGGAAACAGTAAATAATAGCCAAATATAGTTAAGAGGAACAATCTTTAGAACTTGTTGCATGATAAAGTGGGAAGGATAGAAAGGTTCAAGAATTAAAACCTGATTTCCAGCTTGAACAAATGGAAAACCAGTGGTGTATTATTTATACCAAATCACGTTAACCTAAAGAGGGAGAGCTGGGAGAAGTTCTTAAGATCTGTGTGAAATGTATTTAATTTAACTTTTTGGACACAAAGGTAGCGGATATCAAACAGGTGGCTATAGTTATGAATCTGGATCTCACAGGTGATTATACATAAAATTACATTTAAAATTAATTATATTTACATATAACTAACATATTCTTCTATGGTTTTGTATTCACTTAGAATTTGTTATAAAATCCTGATAATGCCATTAATAGTGTCAGCTGAAAAGTTACAACACACATTATACACTGACCACACAGGTTTCCAAAGTCAATTCTAAGTGTTAAATGTGTAAATATGTAATCTGTGGTTCTCTGTAAAGGTCAAGTTGCACAATTGATACATTTGATTGAGGTTTCTTTGTGACCTCATGGATTCAGAGAGGAAAACTTTCTCATTAAAATACATTTTTTTAACTTTCAAAAAAACAGGCTTTAGGGTTGTAGTGATGACTTCAACAAGGAGTGTTTAAATGCAATCATGAGAGAGAACCAGGTGAGCCAGTGAAAAGGAGAGGACAGAAGTACAGAAGAGAGGACTGGTACAAAGGAGGCTTGACGTTCTGCAGTGAAGGGGAAGAGCGTGAGCCCTGTTGCAGGAAGGGCTGCCTGGGGGACGCTGTCTTTAAGTTGCAGGATGCTTGAGCACGGTAGCCTTTGTTCAACAGTCTCTTGGGAGGAGAGAGAAAGCGGTCATTTGTGGACTGTTTGATGCTTAGCCCGGGAAGATAGGGGGAAATGGCGTCTCAGGCACAGACAGAGGTTCCTCCTCCACTCAATGAGAAGACCTGGCATGCAAGGGCCGCAGAGTTGGGTCATTTGTCAGCTGAAAAGTGGGCGTTGGACAAACTCCTGTCTTATAGCTTACACTATTTTTATGAAATAAGAGGTTAGTTTACATGCTAAATTGGAGGAAAGTGGAATATAGGAAGATGGGCTTTTCCAAAACCAAAAGAAAGGCATTATTTAAAATCTTAACCTCAGGGAATGGGCAAGCATTTTGATCAGAGATGTACAGCCCACTTGCCAGGTGAAGCTGGCACACATAAATCCTTTCGCCTGGTTTGTTTTATGTGATTTTCGTCCAATACCATCTAGATCCCCCAGTGCAGGTATGAAAAAGACAAAATTTGAACTGGAGATTTGACAGTGAAATACCAAACAGGGGCAAAGGAGTGCATTTTTAAAAACAAGGGTTTTTTTTTTTTTTTTTTTTTTGGTGTTTTTGAGACAGAATCTCATTATGCAGTTCAGGCTGGCTTTGGGCTCACTTTGTAGCCCAGGCTGGTCTCGAACTTGCAATGACCCTCCTGCCCCAGCCTCTCGAGTGCTAAGGAGCACACTTTAAACAGAGATTCCTCCACCTTCCACCAGGGAATATAGTCCTAAAAGACTAGGGTTTGGCATGAGAGGGTCAGGAAAGGACCGACTTACTGAGCACTATTGCGTCAGATCATCACGAACATGGTCTTACTTTAACATGCACTGGGCAATGACAACGTCATAATTCTCCTTTCTAAGAAACTTTCAATGAAGTCACTGACCGCCTCTTTCTGAGACCGTGCGATTAGTAAGGGAACTCACCTGTCTGAGGTCATAGACAGTCAACGATATGGAAATGATGGACATAAGGATGATGGCCAGAGCGTATTCCTTGTAGTCTTCGCTGAACCATAAACAGACGCTGAAGAGTTGAAATACGTAAAAGGGATTTAAAACCTGTTGGCAGACACAGAGACAGGAAGACGGGGGAAGTATTCAGGCTTCACGCATCACAGCTCACTCATGTTTCCATGAGCATCTCTGGGCGGTAGATCATCCTCTCTATCGTTCTGTTTATTCAGCACCTGCGGTGCCAGACACCGCACTCTTCAACTTCACCTGACTTTTTCATTTTATTCCCACAGTCACCCCGGTGCCCAGAAGGTAGCTCGTATCCCCATTGTAAAGGTGAAGAAACTGAATCTCAGATCTGAGACACTGGCCTGAGGTCACACGTACCTGGACCTGTCACACGGCCACACTTAAAGCCAGGTAATCTGACCACAGTGCGTGCTTGTAATCAAGGTTGCCCTTGACGTTTTACAGAGTTGCCCCTGGGCTTCAACACATTGATCACCATATTGTGAAAGGAGCTGATGACATCTCCCACTTGCAATTACTGGACTTCAGACAGGTGAAGCGGTGGATCAGGTTTACAAGCTTAAAACGCTTTTTAGTCTATCACTTTTCCCTGGCACAGGAGAGCTGCTCCGTGGGAAGCCAGTGGAAAGCCTCACATTAAGGGATGAGTTGACTTTTTCTCACAGAGAACTGAGAAGATTGTGGCACTAGGACATAAAGAGTGGACTCCACCAACTGCATTCCCGCTTTGGTGGGAAACACCGTGTGCCCTCACCCGAATTCCCCCTGTTAAAACAGGAACAGTTATTCTTATCTCTCGTTACGAAAAAAACTACGTGAAAACTTTCCTATCAGCATTTTGCTTTTCTCAGCCTTGAAATCTTTCTCTAAATGTTAAGAGAGTATCTTGAAATTAGTAAGCTGTTTTATTTTTCAAGACAAGGAGGTCTACAGGTGGACAGTGTCCTGCTATATGGTTATGGTCTGGAAAGTAAGAGGAGACAGCCCAAGAAGAAAAATTTAACGTAGTAAATAATGATCAACTCTTTCCCACACAAACATTGAGATCAGTAGCTCTTAATAAAGGTGAGCAAATTGTTATCTTCTCTGTTTGATTTTGGATGTTGAGGAAATTGTATATGTTGCCTTAAAAAAGATTGGCTTTCTAACAAAAGAAAGAGAGAAAGGAAAAGACTATATTAGTTTCAAAGTTGGGAACAGGTAAACAGCATTCTATTAAAGAAGAAAAGAAACAGTGCCTTCAACCAGTCATCAAATATCAGTACACACATGAGCGTGACACTCCGTAGCATATCTGCTAGTGTACAAGAGAGAAACCTGAGGAAAAAGAGTAGATGAGAGATATGAAAAAAAGATATGTCTGGTATTCTGTTAAAATAGCTCCCATTTACGTTACTTATTAACAAGTTTCATGATGCATTATTTGGTTAGAACTACACTTATTTTCCATCCAACACCAAGAGAAGATACTGGAGAAATTACCTCCTTGCTGAGCAGTTTCCAAATAGGTGTGATTTCAACATCAATAGTATTAGGCCCACATATTAGCCTCCTACCGGGAGAGATCACAGTCACTAATAATGAAAATGAACTCATTTCCTGCCCACTCAGAAAAAGGCCTGCTTCACGTTCCCCTTGCTCACTTCTGGATGAATCTCCTCTGCTTTCTAACATTCCTATCTGGCTCGAAACAACTGAGGTTTTTTTTGCTAGCTAACACTTCCCTGGATCTTAATATGTTCTAAATGATAACTTGGATATTTAATATTACTTAACTCATCTTACTTAACTAGCACCAGAATTGGTATATTCTAAACTTTGTCCCCAACTCTGATTCCACAGAAGTGCACCAGTGATGTCATTAAAAGGAAATAAGCTTACTGATAAGCAAATATTGTACCTATTTTCTGCCCCCGTTCAGAAGTTCTGGAAAGCTCTGCAATTTATTCTAATATGAGTAGGAAGGTCATGGGCTCTTCAAAATAGGTAAATATGTAGAGGCATGCATTCCTCTGGTTGACGAGCAGAGACGGCTCCTTTAATTGTGTGGAGGAATGCACCTTGCAAGTAATTTTGCTGCCTAGAACACAAACCACTCTCTCTGTGTCTTTCACATAGACCGATCCAATAGCTTTGCTGAGTGTGTTAGAGAAGGGCTCCTCAAGCTTTAACTTAGATGGGCTGGCCTCATTAAGATGAAGATTCTGACTCAGTAGGGTCAGATCCTGCAAATCCAACATCTTGCTTTTCTTTCTAACAAGCTCTACGTGACACAGATGGTGCTTGATACTAGGTTCTCTCTGAAGTGCTAGAATGGGGAAGAAGAGCTAGAAACTTAAACTCAGTGAGGCCTTTTTGGAGTCCTTCTTCCCCTTTTTTTTCAAACTAAATCCTGGAGCAGAGAGCATAGGTACTGGAAACTACACAGATACTCCAGGGCTCTCTCAGAATCGTTCTCTGCTACCTAGTAACTGATTTGGAACCGTGGAGCTATGCACGTCTGTGTGGCGTTGTTCTGATGTTCTGTTATTTCTCTTTAACTGTGTCACCATGCTAGTCTGTGTATTTCCTGATTATAATCAGAACAGGCTCAGCCCTATTATTATAATAGCCTTTAGAGACACTGTGCAGAGGAAAAGCACTGAAACTACACTCATTTCTTGCTGTGTCTTTCAGTGTGACCACGCTCCGGCCACTCAACCTCTGTGAGTCTCAGATTCTGCACCTGCTATGTTGATGTTGTGTTGAAGTCTTTTCTACCTCCCTCATGAGGCGGCTCTGAAGATAATGGGTTTGAACACATTCAATTTAACTAAAACATTGCAACATCTTTTGATATCGATCAATTAAGATAACCACTCACTGGGCTCTATATTTGGCTAGCTGATAATAATCCTTTACAGCTAATACAGACAATAATACGTGTGGTACCTAATCTCTTGTTCTTCTCTGGTTAGACCTGATCCAAATTTTAGATGTATCTTGGTAGAAGTGAGCCAGTCTTCCAGAGATCTAAAATAATAATGAGAAGGTTGCATTTAACAGTAACAGTTTTGAGTTAACATTTTTTTCTTTAGATGCACTTTCTAAAACAACTTACCCAATTTTTTGAAACTGTCCTTCTAAATTATTCCAAACATATCTTATTTTCTGCACTTTTATGCATCTCACCTGCAAAAGAAAAGTACTAAGAAAATCTCTAATTTGAGGATTGGAGATTATACAGTGACTGAGTGGCCAAAGAGTCATTTGCAAAAGAGACAAAGACATAACCCTCAATATTTATTCAATGTGCAATATTTCAATTATTGCTACTCCCCATTAGCCTGATCTGAAACTTTTGCATTTTATTTCTACTTTTCTTCTTTAAAATAAAAAAGTTCTTATCTTTTCCTACTTTGTCTTTTTCTTTCCTACTAGACAAATGGCATCCTTATTGGAAATCATCATTTGCATGATTTAATAGCTAAATCTTGGAAACAATCCAAATGCCCATCAACTGATGAACGGATTAAAAAATGAAGTATTTTTATACAATGGAGTGTTACTCAGCTGTAAAGAAGGATGATCTTGAGGCTTTTATAGGTAAATGGAGGCACCTTGACATCATATTCATAAGTGAAATAAATCAAACTCACATTTGTAAATGTTGTACTGTTTCCCTAGTATAAACAAAACTGAAAACATAATAATATCCAGAATGTACAATAGATATTGTGATAATGAAAGGGAAAGAAAGTACACAAGAGGAAGTAACAATCTGGAGAGGGGAAAGCAGAGAAGAAAAAAGGGGAAAAGATTACATGTATATACGTATACAAGATAGATAGCTATACTACTCATTTGTGTTAGTTCACCCCAAAAAAATTTTGTGCTTTCATTGTTTGATTGTTTGATCCTTTTTTGTGCCTAAATCTTGTAACCTGAACCACTACTTCTAAAATAACAAAGTGCAACATATTAATTAGTGTTAATTTACTATTTTTTGATATTCTGTATCTTTTATATCCTTTATTCCATTTTGCTTTTTTAAAATAAAAAAAATAAAATAAATCATCATTTGGTCAACATGTATCAAGGGCTTACTATATAGATAAATATATGAATAAGTGAAATTTAGTCTCTGGATTCTACTACCTTTGAACTTAATGAAACAGAAAATATATTTCAAAAAAGAAAATTGTACCCTATATCCCAATACATAGATGTCAAGCAAATAAAAATATAACAAAGTAAAAAGACATAATCATAAAATACTATAGAAAGACAGCGAGGGCAGATGGCGAAAGGAACCGCAGGAGAGACCACGTTTGAAACCGCCACAGTGGAGGGCTGGAAGAATTCTCTCAGACATGATTGGAAGAGAGTATTTCAAGGAGTTCTGTCCAACCTAGGGAAGGAGAGGAAGCAGGAGAGTAGGCCTGTGAGACTGCGGAGGGAATAATTAAGCTGGAAATATAAGTGAAGGCTAGATTATGAGAGACATAGATGCTAGAATAAGGCCTTTGGTACATTGTCTCACAGGCACTAGAGCTGTATAGTAACCTGCAAGAGAAACATTGAAAAGGATTCCAGGGTTTGTGAAAACTGAAGCTGATACTGGGGAGGAGAGAGGAGGTTAAATGTGCTCCTTCAAGAAAACATGCTCCAGGAAATGAGATTCTGAAAGGATCATCAGTGGAAAGAAAAGGCAGAATCACACTTAGGACACTTGTGTCTTCGTAAGATGATTTCTTTAAACAACTGCATTTCCATGAGCTGGTGACCTCACAACCCCCTGAGAGAAACAGTGACACTTCCATGTGGCTGTGGAGCAATGCTTAAAGCCTCGGGTCCCACATTAGGAGCATCTGAGGAGTTTTAAAGATGCGGTTGCCTGGCTGCCACTGCCAAGAGATTCTAATTTAATCTTTTTGCAGTGCATCTTGGGCATAAATACAGTTACATTTTCCTAGGTAGTTTTGTTGGCAGCTAAAGTGGAAGAGCAGTGGAAGAGATTTCCTGTTACAGCGGTCCTTGAGAAATTCCACTAAATATCTCTGCACCTCACTTGTGCCATGAATCAATTGAATAATTGGCCAGATGGTGGCTAAGTTCTACTTTGGCTCCTTTCTGTATTATAGTCATAAATATTATAGTCAGTCACGAGATAAATTCTAAAACTGTGAAGTGTGCATAGCTGGTACATACTAGGTGCTCAGTGCACTTTGTGTTAAATAAATGAACTTAGCTTACATCTCTGGGTCATGAGACCTAGAATTATAATCCTACTCATAATTATGTCAGATATGCACACACACACACACACACACACACACACACGCACACATTTAACAGTTACCAAGTAAGAGCATTAAGTGCTATATCTTCTTTAATTTTTATAGAGTGAGTTTATTTCAATGAGATTGATTGCAAAAGAAATTATTGAACACATCCTATTTCCAAGTGATTTTCAGTATGACATTGCAGTCGCTCTGGCAATGACGCTTCTTTTGTAAGCTGTGAATTCGAAGCAAGAAAGCACATTTGAAAGTGACCAGGCCTGGAACATGCTAGTCATCATGGCTCACATTGGAATTTCTGGTTTCATGCCTTTAGACTTAACTTCCTTTTCACTATTCTTTGCAGTTTTGCAAATAATGCCACCAATCACAGCAACCATTTGCTGAGGATTCCGGAGCTTATGGCACATTACCATTAGTCTTTTTCATCATCCGGTGGTTGGGCAGATTCTTTCATCTTCACTTTGCACCTGAAGTTCATTCTGATTGCATCGCTCACAGGCTGGGATTTTAGCCCACCCCATTCTCTCCAAGAATGTAAGACTCCAGGGAGTCTCAAAAGAAAATCTAACAAAACCTCTTAAATTCAGGATCCCATGTATAGTGCATGGTAAACTCAAGCATTGTGTTTCAATTTTGCAAGCCATTCTATAAAAGGATTCTTAGAGTCTCTTCTTTGCTATGTTCAAAAACCCAAAATAATTCTTTAATTTAGTCTCCAAATTCCCATAAAAGCCTCCAAACAGCTATCATCTTGGGATTCTTGTTGCTATTATTATTCCCATCAGTGTTATCATGGCTGAGGCTATCTTCTCTCCTCTGATTTTAATGCAAGTTTCAAGCCTTAGTATGAATGTAATTCACTGCAGCTCACAAATCACCTAAATATCAACATTCACATTTGAGGTTTGCAACAGTCCTGAGAAACAGGCAGAGAAGGGATTATAAGCAACTCAAGACTCCAGGGACAGCAAGCAGCCTGAATCTCTGGTGAATGAAGCCTGGTTATCAAGCCTAGTTATCAAAACTATCCACTGCAATTTCTCCCTCACATTCTTTTTTATTTTTATTAGTGTGTGTTTGCAGAACATAATGTGTGCTTACATCCACGATGTGGGTTAGCATATGTAAATAATACATCATAAGTCTTCTTTCCACCCCTTCCTTCTTCTCCTCCATCCATTTCTTGGTTCCCTTTTTCAGATCTATCTCCCTGTCTCTTACTGTCTATCTTTTATTTTGCTCTTTAATTTATTTATACCTTAAGTTTCTCATATGAGAGAAACTATATGATATTTTGATTTGTATGTCTAATTTATTTCCCTCAACATTATTTTCTCAAAGTATATTTACTTTCCCACAGATGACTCAAATTTACCCTTCTTTATGGCAGAGTAGCACTCCATTTCTTTATCCATTCCTCTGTTGATGAACACATAGGCTGCTTCCAAGATTTAACTATTGTGAAATATACGCTATATTCTGCTTGCTTGTCAATCTGAAGCTTTCTTCATTTGTCTTTATAGTTACTTATTTGAAACAATTAAATGTGCTGCAACTTTAGGGTAATGAACTCTGAAGTCACGTCTGCCTAGCTCATTTGGGAAAGCCAACTTATCTAGCTGAATGACCACTTAGTGGAAAAGGCAGACTGCTTCCTGGAGGAGTTTGGCCTCCTTTGTCTCTGCATATTTTGGCCATAAAGACAACTAGGTGATAGCAATTGACGATAGAGAGATCTTTCAGCAATTGACATTCATTCTTTAGAAAACGACCTAGAGCTCATAAAACTAAACAGCTGTCTCCATCTATAAAAATAAAAGAAAACATTCTGTCTTATAAAATGTGTTTTTAATATGAGTGTTAACAGTCACAATCCAAGCAGTGCTAATTTAATGGTGTCAAAAAGGAAATAACCCACATGCATTTCAATAGAAAAATTGGAAATAAGATCATTTTGCAGACATAAGAAAATTCCACGAGACAGTCCTGGGCGATTACTGCAGAGTGATCTCTGCTATACACACAGGGAATGATGCTACAAGAACTAACACATACTGGACCTCACTATGTAACTGGCATTGTACTGGACTTCGAAGTCTTTAATTTCCTGAAGTCAGTCAATTAGTATTAGAGACAGGCTTCATTACCATTTTTTAAATGAGAAACCTGAGGCTCAGGAGACACAAGAAAATTATCCAACGATGCACTGTTTGGAAGGAGGAAGGCGAGATTTGAAGCATGCTCCATCTGACTACAAAGGTCATGTCTTTTGCAGTTTTTTCCACCTTCAATAGAAGAAATCACAGGAGAGAAATAGGGAGAAAAGTTAAGTTTCTCTGGCATCAGCCAGAGCCATAACTTAAGACTTACCTTTAGTCCAGGCTTCTGGATGGCTCTATTTATGACAAAATCCTCATCTGTAATGAGGGGGTGTCCAGGAGTGAGACCAAAAGCACTGCTTAATGTTGATAGGTGGATCCATGTTACCTTTTTCCAAGAGTAAGTCTGGAATTCATCCTGCAGAAACAGATGCCAAAACTCCCATGAAGTCAGGAGAAATCACTACGCTAAAAGTCAATCCAGAAAATATCATTTTAGCGCAATTCTGTGGGCTAATGGAGTTAGCAAATGTTCCAGACAGACTTAAGTGCCATTGGAATATGGTCAGGTGTAGCATCTTCAGGGGCAGTGGCTTTTCAGCATCTATTAGAGAACCTGGATATGAACAGGGCACTGACACAGACAGCACAGCTGGGGAGGGAGGTAACAGCTCATGGAAGAGCTGATTTCCTGTCGAGCTACAACCAGAAGCCTGATAGGCGCTATCACAGGCAGAAAAAAGCAAGCTTGCCAATGGCTTCTGAATATCTCTGAGGGTAAGGAAGTCAAGTCAATTAAACTCTCTCCATCTTTCGAGGCATATCTCAAATTCCACCGCTTCTCAAACAGCTCCTTTAATACCTTCCCACTGTGGCAAAAGAAAAATAAAAGAATGATAACTATGTTAATTGAACCATTCCTCGCTTGTGCTTCTAATCATTTCTGTCTGTTTTCTGACATTATTAGATCACCTAGAAGACAGAATCCATGTCTTATCATTGCTTATATCGTTCCCTAGTTATGGAGCACAAAGATCCAGGGGATACGAGTAAAACAAATGGGTGAGAAAAACTGATTGCATAGACCGCATGTGTCAGGATGCCCACACAGGTAATCCTGAGGAAGGTGCCTTATTGGATGATCCTAATTGAAATCATCTACCTTTGCAGTTCACTAAGGGCTTCACAGAATAAAGCTAGGAGGAGCAAAAGGGAATGGTTGCCAGATACCCAATGATTCCTTCATGGCTGATGCAATACCAATAGTTATTATCTGAGTGGATATAGACTAAATATAAAAGCCACTTGGATGTCTGATGACATCATCAGGCAGTCAGGATGACAAGAAGTCCAGGAATGCAATGCTTGGAGAACGCACTTCAGAGCTAGGAATCAGCTCCACCCAATAACATTTTTGTTTTGAAAGGTATCTGAGCAGACTCTGCAAAAAATAAACATGCATGAGACAATTGTACTTTTTCTCCTTGCCCTCTTGCAACCCATTTCCTGCTGCTTCCACATCCTAAAATACAATTTTTCCCCTCCCCTTATATTATAGGCAGCTATATTAGATAGAAATTTATATACAGTCACAGAGAGAGACTGGGCTCTCAAGGAAGTCATCACAAAAGTAAAGACCTCAGAATTGTGGCTGGAGGTGCAGCTGAAGGAGACCAGGCCTCAAAATAGAGAAGCAATAGGCCTAGACACCTCCCCAAGGCATAAACAGTAGCTTGGAATTAGACTGTAAATTACACTATACCATTTGGTCCAGTAGGTCCAGAGAGCAATCAGTCACCCAGGTTGTTGACCAGAATATCTGGGCCCATCCCTAAAATGCCTTTGTTCTTTCCATGTACCCTTGCTGTTTGATTCATTTCCCTTTTGAATCAATATTAGCTAAAAAGCTCTACTTGTAATCCTATAGACTGATAGTAGCTTGACCCACATTGTACCTTCATTGTGACTTTGCTGTATAAATTACCCCAACAAAGGGCCTCGGCAACAGCCCACTTTCAGGAATCACCCCCACCCCCGGTCTCTAAGCCTCTATTTCTCAATAAACCTTTCCTACTCTTGACCTCCACTGTCCCTTGGAATGCATTATTTAATATTCAGGGGACCTGAACTTGGCATATCTGACATCTAGCAGATCGGGAGTTATCTTTCTCCTGTATCATCACTAAGTCTTTATGTGGCTAAATCTGAACCATCCTTCTGGGTCCAGCTCGAAGGCTATGGCCTGGGAACTTCCTTAATTTGCCTGGAGATGTCTCTTCCAAACCAAGCTGTCAGAGTACTAGAGATTCTTCCCCCACTGTCACCATCCACCTCGCCACTCCTGTGGGACTATGGGTAGAGACCATGACAGAGGTGGCTCTGTGCTGCAGTCAGCCTAGCACAGATACTGAGAAAGGAAGACGGAGAAAGAGGAGAATGGAAGGAGGGATGGGGGAGAGGAAGGCAAAGCAAAGAAACAGAGAAGGGTAAGAGAAGGTAAAACAAGAAATTTGAATCATAATGAATTAAATTTAAGAAATTTGAAATGGAGCCTGGTGTGGTGGTGCACCCCTGTAATCCCAGCGCTGAGGAGGCTGAAACAGGAGGATCACTATGAGTTCAAGGCCAGGCTGAGCTACATAGAGAGTCTAAGGCGGACCTGAACTACAAAGTGAGACACTGTCTCAAAAGAAAAAAATTTTACATGGGTTATGACTAAATCAAATCAAACCAACTTACATGTAGTTATTTTCAGAGCCTAAAAATGACTGAAGACAGCTGAATTTTAAATAACTGAGCCATATGCTAGATACAATAAAGCAGGCCACCAATTCCAGCACATGCTATGACATAGCAGAGTGTTGCCTTAGCTCTCATCAGTGGGAGGCTTGCTGTGGGAATACTTTGAGTTTCTTATTATAACAGTAATAAAAATGCTTAGCAGTTGCTGCACTCCATACATATTATGTTATATATGCATTATTTCACTTAACATTCCAAAACACCATAAGATCGTTATTGTGATTATCCTACCATTTTATAGAGGATGAAATGATCACACAGAACTCCTAGAGTAAGAATTTGTACATACACTCCCATCTCTGTTTGCTCCCTCTGGAGTTCTCTCTACCCCTCTGCTCTATTCTATATTTTGCTAAAAAGATAAAAACAAAAATAAATTAGTGGCCAGGGATATAGCTCAGTGGCATAAGCACCTGTTTAGCAAGCACGAGGTCATGAATTCAATCCTCAGTATCAAAATAAATTTAAAAAATTTGTTGATTGGGCTGCCATTCTTATAGCTGGCTTAAACTGGGATTGTCAAAGAACAAAGTTTCAATTTTAAAAAATGTAGTGAGAAAGCACACTCTTTTAGGTGTATAGAAACACAAATTGTAAAAGAGTCATCAAGGTCCGAGACCTTTGGCCACCAAGTAAGGATAGTTAGGAGGACAAGACTCTTAATAAGCAAAGGATAGTGGTATCAGCTACAAAGTTTCATTTGGTGACTGAAGTTCTAAAATCGTGTTGCATCCATTCATTATCTCTTTTTAGATCCCAGTTCTCCAGAGTCAGTAGCGTTATCTCCATTCTGCAGCTGAGAAAACTCACCATGAGCAAGGCTAGGAATTGTTCAAGCCCATCTGATATTGGTAGTAGGGATAGAACCATGGCCTGGTCCAGATCACCCCTAATCTCGGCTCCTTCCTCTTTATTTCAACAGGCTATCCCATGGAGTTTGTGGCTTGGATGTGAAAATCACCTTGAACTTCATCACTGTGTAGCAAACAACATCCAGTTTCTCACAATCTCTGCTCGCTTGGCAGTCCAGAATCAACCACAGCCAGAAATCAAGCTGTTGCCCATCATCTGACGCAGGGTGACAGCTGACAGCCCTCCAGACTGTAGTGCCTGAAAACGGAGGTGGACTCCTGGAACTCCAGATTCTCAATACCCAACATTAAGCTAATGTACCAACTGCAATGCCTTAGTCCAGGTGAGTATTAAAAGCTGAAATTCACCTTCACACTCATATCTTATTAAATCTTGTGGTATCACAAAACCACCCATGCTTGTATATACTCATTTGAATCGAAACTCATTTCCTGTTGTCCCTTTCTGGTTAGGAAGTACATGTTGAGAAAAACTGCTGTGCCTGATCTTAACTGCTATTTATTAGCTACTTAATCTTGGGAAAGGAACAAAGACGTGGGAACTTGATTTACAGCTCTAACAATAGTTATTTATATAGTCTCAAGAGCAACAGAGATTGACCCAAGTGTTATACGTGGCCCTGCACACACAGCCTCAGCATCTGCTATGGGGGGAAGAGAAAGGTTTATTCCTGGAGCTCAGAATGGCTCAGAAGTATTCATGAAAGATTCATGTATTTCCGGGATCTTTTCATAGCGTAAACCCTTCATGTGAATCAAAGAATCATGAGGGTCTTGTTTTCTAGCATGAAAAGAATGTGACTGTGCCTTGCAGACACTTCCATCTGCAGCCCATGAGAGCTCTGCGGGCCATGGCTTAGCAGCAGCAGGAGCAGGACCTTGGACACAGGGGCAGGGCCAGGTGTGCAGCTCTGAGGGTGACTGCTGGACTGAGCTGCGCTCTCTGAAGCTGCTGGCAGAGAGGAACCATGGGTAGGAAGGAATGGGCAAGAAAGGAAATGGAAAAAAGGAAGGAAGAAGACATAAACAGAAAAAGAAGCAGGGAAAGGGAAAAGGAAGAGAAGAAAAAGAAAAACCTACTAAGAGTGAAAAATCAAAACAGTGCCAACACACAAACGGCACGCTTTGGTATTTGGAGCTACATTTTTTAACGTCTAATCTTAGCATTTTAAGGATGTTTTTTAACTTTCTGGGACCTGGAATTACTTCATTTAGGAGATAGAATAGTCCTTGCTCTTTCTTGGACTGGTGTGAGGATGAAGTGAGATTGTGTGTGTTAGAATCATTTGCACACTGTGAAATGGGTTATCAAAAACCACTTTAAGAATGTTTGCGCTCACATGGGCACACACACACACGCATGTTTGTGTGTGTGTATTACTGCTCAAGCACCACCAAAAGTTTCTATGCAGAAACACTTGCTATGTTTAAGGCAAGTCTAACACTAATGCCCTCATTGTCTGGGTTCTGTGCTCCCACCCACATCACCCAGCAGGCCTGGCATGCCCTGCCAGAGCTCCAGGAGTGAGGGAAGCCACCCATGACCATATGCTGCAGCCCTCATCTATCAAGCAAGATGATCCCTCCTAGTGTGTGTAGTCAGCTTTGCAACTGGACCTGTACTGGAAAGTCTCACAAACGCCTGCCCCAAGAGCTGCACCCCTCTCTTTGCACCTTTTAAAATCTATTAGACCCTCCTATCTTTAGCTGCTCCTCCAGCGTTAACCAGAGCAGACTTAACCCA